GACAGCGCTGCAGGTGCCCAACCCCAATATGTAACTTAGCTGGAACCTTCTCAGATTTCCATCCAACAAAAACAAGTTTTATTTTATGGTCTTCATTTGTCTTAGTGCATATGTTAAGACTCAACAGTTTATGGAAGGGTTGCAGTGTTTCAGGCTAATCTCAATGCAAATGCGCAGGTAACATGAGACGCCTCGTCTGCTGTAACATTACCTCAATAAGCTGCAGCCAGACCAAAACAAGCACACCCAGAGCTGTCAAATCCACATCCTGTATCTCAGCTTCACCACTTATTAATCTTTAGCCTCACACAATCAGACAGCAACCATTTAATAGCACAAATCATAGCTGCAGCTTTGTGAATATGCCCAATAGATGATGATGATGATGATGATGATGATGCTGGCCCGTGTTGTTGTGTCTGGGATGAGCTCATTCTACTCTCTGCAAACATGTACGCCCTGTAATGGCGATATTAACGCTTACATGGAAGCGGACAGGTGTGTGACGCTTACTTGGTCTCTGTTGGAGAGCTGAGTCTCAGTGGAGGACGTCGTGGCTGAAGTGCAGCGTCTCTTTTAAACAGCCATCTAGTCGCATGTTTCTTCTTTTTTTTTTTTTTTTCCTGCGGCTCTTCCGTCTCCCAGCCCAGCCCCAGCATGACGTCACCTCTGGGACCAATGCTGCCTTCGCGGACCAAGCTCTGAGCTCGGACATCCGAGGATCAAGATATTCGAAAATACGATTTCGGGAAAAAAAGACTGAACACAAACGGATCAAAAGGCCGATGTCCACCAGTAAAACAATCCGATTAAAAAAGCGATGTGACTAAAAGAAAAATATCCGGCATGTTATTTGACTTTGTATAAAATAATGATTTATTATTACAAAGCAAAGTAGTGACTTAGTATAGTGAAATAAGGATTTAGCATATGACTAGTTCTCACAAAATAATGACTGAAACCTAAATAATTATAGTATCGTAAATCAAAATGAATTAATATAGCAAAATAATTATTTAGTATAGAAAAGCATAACGACTAGTTTTGACGAAATAATGAATTATCACGAATGAAGAATTAGTATCTCAACTTAAGTACTTAGTATGGTTCGGTAAAATAAGGACTTAAGACATCAATCTTATGATAAATATATTAATTGTAGAAGTGGAATAAGAGTTGCTCCTTCGGTTTATACATTTCACTTTTAAAAAGAAAAGCACTCGGATATAGCAAGAAATATTTGTTGGGAAATACTTTGTATCTCGTCTGATTTAGGTTTGTGATTTTAGAAGTCTTTACTCCTCTGTGATCGTTTTTTATACTACAGTATATTTTATGTATGTATTCTCTGCAAGTTCGTGTGTCATTTCATGTGTTCAATAAAAATGACACAAACAGTAATATGCGATTTTTCTGTTGCTTATTCTAATATTTATTTACCGAAAACAAAACTCGACAGGACACAAATATTGGGAATGCATCTATCTGCACACAGAATAAAAGAATATACGGCTCTTACATTATTGGTTGGGATTACCTGCATGGTGTCTCAGTACATGTTTGGTTTGTGTGTTAATCGACAGTTTAACACTGAAGTCTTTATAACCTCCTTCTGGCTGTTCAACTGATTTGTACTGTAAATATTATACTTGGTAGCAGATAATCAGTGACTATGTTAAGTATGTGAACAAAGAACTGGATAAAAACACACATCACATATCTGATGGTTACCATTAAAAGCATTTGCAGTGTATATTAGACGAGGAAACCGTGCAACTGAAATTTTCTATCATCGTTAAAAATAATTGCTCTAATTAAAACCCTCCCAAGGGTTTGTGTTGTATGTATACAAGTACACAGCACTTAGCTGCTAATTATTATTTTAGGTGGGCTAAAACCTCTTCCCTACATTATATTACACTTATAAACCAGGATAACAGTAATTCTATGAGTAGCCAGGCCTTTAACGTGCCCGATGCATTCACTACAGTCTCATTATCAGGTATTTAAAGCCTTCTACCATCAACAGTGGAAACAGCGTTCTTAGTTGAATCCGTCTGATCTTCGTCGCCGCTCCGTCTCAGCAGTTTATTGAAGAGCTTGTTGAAGGTGCCGCTGAAGGCCGGGCTGGAGAAGTAGTACACTACAGGGTTGAGGACGCTGTTGAAGTAGGTGAAGCACACAGAGGTGTAGAACGCCAGGTTGGCCTCCTCGAAGTACCGGCACTCGTCATACCACACCTTGAGGATCCAGACGGCGATGCGTGACACCGTGCTGGGAAAGAAGCAGGTGATGAAAATCAGAGCCACAGCCGAGACGAACTGAACGGCCCGCTTGATCTTCCCACTCTTGTCCAGAGTCCGGACTCTGAGTTGCCACGTGATCCGCACGGTGCAGAAGGCCACGATGGCGGTGGGCAGGAAGAACTGGGTGACGTAGAAGATGTTGTGCCAGGTGGAGAGGGGGCTGAAGCCCATGCAGATGTTGAAACTCTCACACTGCGTCCGGTTGCCGTTGTAGAAGAAGTGCTCGTTGGCCAGAAGATACCCGGTGGCGAGAAAAATCAGAGCCCAGAGGCCGAGGGAGACCCAGAGGGCGTAGCCCAGACCCATTCGGTTGATCCGGTTCATCGGGTGGACGATCTTGAAGTACCGGTCGACGGCCACGGCCGTGAGGAAGAAGATTCCTGCCGCGCGGTTGGCCGCCAGCAGGAAGAGAAGGATGCGACACAAGACGTCGCCGTGCAGCCAGTTCTTCCCACGCCGGTAGTAGTCGGCTCTGAATGGCAAGCAGAACAGCACGATGGAGTCGGCCACGGCCAGGTGGGTCAGGTACACCGAGTTGGGCTTCCACATGTCCATGTGGAAGACGAACATCCACAGGGCGACCACGTTCCCCATCAGACCGAACATGAACTCCAAGATCAGAATCGGAGGCAAAACCCGGTCCAGGACGGGAGACTCGAAGGCGCAGCACTCGTCCGACGTCGAGAGATTCATCTTCGGTGTAAAAACAACGACCTGCTGCTCTGAACAAAGTCAGCACAGACGCTCTGTACCGGCCGACTGCTGAGGTGGGGAGTCGTGTTTGCGCTCATGCGAACGATCCTCAGACAAACATCTGTGCAGCCGGCGTTATCTTTGGGGAAGCGGTGTTGACCCAGAGGAGCGAGGAAACGACCGTAAATGTTATCCGTCTGGGGAGGGCGGCTTCATTATAAAACTATTATGCAGAGGAGACGGTTCACTCGAGGGGAAACTTGGAAAACAAGTAACCTGCGGCCATTTAAGTGACTCAGATAAAGCAGGTGACTTCATCCTCACAATCCTTTTGTTTGTTTTTTTGAAAAATAGACACAAAAGAAAAGAAAAACAAAGTTGGAAAGAAGAGCGTACAGGCGAAGGAGACTGAAATTTATTAGCCTACAGTTTTTGCTTGAGTGAAGAACATTTGGGAGGGATTCACGTCATACCACACCTTTGGCGAACGAGAGAAAGCAGCTATTAATAACTAAAAAACAAAAAAAAAAAAAAAGAGAAAAGAAGAAAAGAAGCCAAGTGAGTGGCCAAGTCCGCAGCTTTTTATGAACAGTAAATAAAATAGGTATAAAATGACTTAATGTGTACATTTGGCCAGGTTGTTGTCGTCGTTACAGGTCACATCCGTTTCAGTAAAAGTGCATATTTGGTCTTCACTTCTTGACTTCACCCAGATCATCAATGCTGTCATCGTCCACCTAAAACACAGACGCAACAATCAAGTAAAGAAATAGTCGGTATAAATACTAAAAAAGTGGATTCACCCGCCGCTGAAAATAGTCCCCAACACATGGACTACTTCCTCTTGTTGTTATTGAGCCACTTTTAAAAGTGAAACCTTACATTGGTGACACTTATTTAAAGATGTGGGGCTGAAAGCTAAAGATAAACACGATGTTTTTTGTTTGTCGACATTAAACAGACTAAATGATTCAACTATTGTTTGGGTTGCTTATTAGTTAACAACTAATAATATGAGAATATGAGAAACATAAAATACACAGGGGATACATCGGTGTCACTGTTAATTTAGCTCGAGGCCGATTCGTGTCACTGCTTTCACCCTGAAACACATTTAAAGGGGCAAACTGGTGTATTATTTAAGCTTGAAACACGACGACATCGTTTCCACAGACTATAGTTGAGATAAACACGAGTGCAGCAGCAGGATATTCATGCTCAGTTTCACCTCTCCTGAAATCAAACTCCTCAAAGTAAAGTAAAAGGTTCTAAGTGTGAGGACAGATTTGAACTCAGTAATCGGAGCCAGATCCCTCCTCTCCTCCTGCCAACTATCTTACATTTATAAACAAACTGAGCAGATACAGAGAGGTTCAAACTCAGTGCAAAAGGACTAATTCACAGCTCTGCCTCATCCAGTGAGACGAGTACAGAAACAAACAGAACTGAAGAGATGAACCATTTAAATATCCGCCGGCTCACCTCGGGCCACTTCTCCTGGATGACGTCGATGATGTCGTCTGTAAAATCTCCCTGAATGATTATTTCGTCCTCCGCTGTCACAGAGGCGCCGCAAGAGAACTTCTGGGCGAAGAACCGCTGAGCCTCTTTGAGTTCTATGTCTGATGAGTCGACACAGAATCCATGTTAGAGAAGAACAAAGCATGAAGAGGAAGGAAAACAGGCAACGGTGAGATTAATAGAAGACAATAGAAACCTCTTACCAAATGTTGCCATGCCGCACACTCTGGTCACGTATTTTTTCTTGGCTCTTGGGATTTTTGCTATTGTGATTTTCTGAGGAAGAGTCTTCTTTTTCTGTTTGATCTGTCCTCTCCCACCTTCAAAAACACAGATTAAAGTCTTTAATACACTTAAACTAACGTCACTATAAACATGCAACAACTAGAAATACATAAAGACAACAGTAAACTTATAGTCATTAAATCAAACATGGATACTATAATCAAATTGTCTTCACTTGCACACAAAAATAATCCCAGGAAATGTTTGTAGACGTCACCAAATCTACCAGCACTGAACTTTGAGGGATCACAACTCAAACGAGGCAGTTTAACCATGAAAAGTAAATTTCTTTTGACACCAGGGAATGATGCATGTATAACTAAAACAACAATATCCAAAAATAGGTCAGATAAAAGGGAAACATTTGTGTCCCTACCTCTCTTCTGTTTCTTCTTCTCCTCCTCCTCGCCTGCAGGGGGAGCTTCTCCAGAGCCGAGGTCCTGATTGGGTGCATTCGCTGCCGGACCAGTGGTTCAGAGGGACAAGAGGAACATATCAAAACCAATCTGGCAACACAGCTTCCCACCTTTTGGATGAGTGCCATCTCTCTCTCTTTAGCACCAGACCAGCCTCTCTGCTGACCCGTGAGCCCACAGTACACAGAGTACATACAGTACACAGAGTACACAGAGAGGTTTTTATATTTCAGTCTGACGTCATTAGAGACCCTTAGACCCGAAGAGATTTGACCTCGTTATGAAGTCGCTTCTCACTCTGAATACACAATAGATTTATAGACTCTAAACAGCATTCATACATTTGGGTTAAGACTTTTGATAATATACATTTTTATATAAATAAATGGGATTTGTGCTGAACATCACCGAAATAAAGTCAGTAACCATAAAATACCAGGTTCTAAGTTGAAAGTGTGTTTTTAACCTGCTGTGCTGCAGGTGGGTCACTCATTAAAATCTCTCGCTGTTCAGACAATCGTCGTTCTGATTTCCCACAGACACCACATATGTTTTTTTTACATATATTTTTAGGAATATGTGTCGATAAAGGAAATATCTGTTTGATGGAATCAAACCTGGAGAGTTGGGTTTAATAGTTCACTCATTGTAAACATCATAACGCGGTGCAACAGTGTGACGCTGGTAATAAATGTGGAGGATAAATAATTCCGAACCTTTTGGAAAATGACCGAACAAGCAGTTTAATTTCCAATCAGACTGTTTTGTAATTTCAATACATAAGCTGTAACACAATATTACAACATCAACATTTGCTCTCATGTAGCAATGCATAAATATATTTACCCTTAGGCTTCGTCTGATATCTTGAATGATACTCACCGACAGTCATCCTGGCAAACACATCTGGAAAGTTCTTCTCAAGCCATTGCCTACACTTGGCTGGCTCAGGCATGTACTCACAGTACTGTGGACACAACAGAGTAGATTCAGTTATACCGTGAAGAACAGATTAACATACAGTCTGACTTGTGTATAGACACTGTGTGCATGTACATAATGGTTGTGTGCGTTTGTTATGTGTCAGCTTTGTTGTCCTTGTTTCAGGCCGTATGTCTTAATTCTATTTTTCCTGGAAACTGTTTTATTACTGTGTGACAGCAACTTTAAACCAGAGTCAACTTCCTTGTATGTGTTCACGTACTTGGCCAATAAAGCTGAATCTGATATCACAAATGAGATATTTGTAGATGCTTTAGTGAACAACAGAATATCCTTAAACGTACCTCCGTAGGCAGAGAGCACACTGCAAAGAAACAAACAAGAAACACTTGTAAGGACAAGATAAACCTCCAATGATCCCCGGAGGGAAAACTCAGATGTTGCAGCAGCACAAAGACAGAAAAAAGTAAAAATATATAATAATAATAATAATAAGAGGTATATAGAACTAGAATGAGAATAGAAGAAAGATTCATTCCAGAATAATATGTGCTAAAGTATGGCTGATGCTACTTATTGTAGTCTGTAAGAAACACTATTATTCTGCCCATCATTTATTACAATAATCGGTAATCGATTAGTCAATGAATCCTCAAAAAAGGCCAAACACGACGCCTTCAAATGTCTTTAAGAGAAGTCCAAATACCAAAAATATTTAGTTTACAAAGATATCTGACAAAGGAAAGCAAGAATCCTCTCATTTGAGAGAAGAAGAATAGTAGAATTGATTCATATTTCTGACTGAGGATAAACAAAATAGTTAATTAGTTTATAATGTAGTCAGAGTCTAAGACAGTATGATGAGATGCCACACTAAATGAAGCTTGATATACTGTACCTCCACAGTAAAGGACCTTCACTGGGTTCTTTGGGTCATGGTGAACGGTCACGTGTTCTGGTTTGCTTCCCAAAGAACCAGATTCCATCTCAGTAGTAGCCATCACAAATTATCTGAATAAAAGACAGAAATAAAGGACATAATTGTATGCACAGTGTACGTATATAGACAAGGGACAAATTAAAAGGAAAAACCTGAATCAAAGAGTGGAGAAAGATGCTTCCAATGTGTTGATGAGCATTAATATAATGTGAGTAAAATGCTAAAGCCTGTACAGTCACCAGTCAGATCTTAAGCCATTTGAACATCTATCTATCTATCTATCTGTCTATCCATCCATCTACCTACCTATCTATCTATACATTTAAACAATATTGTGGATGAATAGTGTACATTTTCCTTTAATTAGTCACCAATCTGTAGGTTGCAGTAAATAATACCATTATATAACTTCAGGATTCAAGCCTCCGCTCCACATCTAAACCTAAAGACCAGTAATAACATGTCTTCATGTGTGTCATTATCAGACTCTACTGTGGGCATGAGTGAACCAGGCTCCTACCAATATCTCATCATGCTAACCTAGCTAACAGTTGGCTTGGTAGCATCAGAAGAAGTCAGCACAAGAACTAGCTTGGCTGGCTAACACATGCGGCTGTTACATTAATTACATCGCTTAGCTAAAAACACGTGTTGTAATGTCTATTATTTAAATATCACAGGTACCGTAAACACTATCACAATGGAAACACAACTGTGCCTTGTTTGTAAATATATCCCCGAGTTTATTTTGCTTCATTCATCAGGTTAACCGTTGACTCACCCAGCTGTCACCGTCAGTGGGGCTTTAGCTTAGCATGCTGAAGCTACATAAGCTAACGCACTGTTAACTGCACGAGCTAACTGCTGTTAAAACAACCGGAATAAAGACACAGAAGAAGAGTTACGTACCCTGCGAAATATACTCTTAAAATTGATGTCCCGTCGGTGAATCCACTCGCATTATTATTATCGTTAGTTTTGACTTTTAGAAAACCATCCTTATTGAATATAAGGTTTAGTTGGCGTACTTTGAGCACGCCTAGTGGCGCTTCTTGTTTTTAGTTGTCGTTAACTGGCTGATGCGCAGCGCCGACGCGCAGCAGCGCCCCCTGGCGACCGGAGGACGAACACACGACACTTCACCTGTTTGATAAAAATGTTCCAAATAAATAAAATAAAAACATTTATTTTAACGTTTCTGCAAAAGAGCACAGAATGTATTTATGACTAAATATTATTAATTGGAGAAAAAAATCTATTTTTAACAGCATATTGTGGCCTTTCCCGGTTGAGTGTTCTAAGCAAGGAATAAAAAAAATATATTTTAATGAATTAGACGTTCATGTGACGAAGCAAGAAATTATAGAGGCCCTCATAATACATTAGTTCTATACATTTTTACTTTTAAAATTAATTTTAAAATATTGTTGAAAAACAAACAAATGGATGAACGTTGGCATCGTCCAATCCTCGTTGTCACAATTTACTCGTTTAAAAAGTTAAACTGTCCTAGAAGCTAACGTTAGCTAGCTAGCCATTAAGTTTTCTCGATACATGTTTTTGTTGTCGTTAAGTGGCCGATGCGCAGCAGCGCCCCCTGGCGACCGGAGGACTAACACACGTAACGTCATCGTCTAGTCCCACTTTACTTGTTTACGTTCAAAAGTTAAACTGTCCACGAAACTAACGTTAGCTAACTAGCCGTTTACGTTTTCCACATACATATATTCAGCAAACGATATTGAAGCGTGCAGCTAACTTACACAAGCGCTCAAGTTATTGAGCCTAATTTACTGGAGCAACAACACGAAGGAATTGGGATATTAGTTTGTAGCTGTTATATGATGGACGAAGGGAAAAGACTGTCACCATCAAGTGGAAGAGCCTCAGCCGGGTTCTGGTCAAAAGGTAAACAAACAAACAACAACCCTGTTAAAGTCCTGTGTTTGAAACATATTAGAGAAGGTTTCAACCATCCAACATCCTCTTTGACTTTCAGACACTTCAGCTGACTTATGGCACAGCACTCCAGTTAAAAAGGTCAGTGACATTTCTCTTGAAAGACTAAATAAAAAGCGGACACTCTGTCCCCCCAGCTTGCAGGACACCGAGGTGGGATTAAATTTAGCCCCGAGGGACTTCAGGTTCCTTGTTTATAATGTATCTTGGAGTTCATGTGCAGGCTTACAAGCTCCACCATGACACACGAGAGTCAGAGAGCTGTGCACTCAAACTACTTTTTGGAAATATTATAAACAGGCTGGGTTATGGTGACGTTAGCTTCACGTGCCTCTCTCTCTCTCTCTCTCTCTCTCTCTCTGTGTGCTTTGCAAAAGTCCCCTGAAAACGACCCGATTGGCTCCATCATCCAGAGGCAGAGGAGGGAGCTCCAGCTGCTGATGGCCGAGCTGAAGGACAGGGACAGGGAGCTGAACGCCATGGCGGCCTTCCATCATAAGCAGCTTCACGCCTGGGAACAAGACCGCCAGAGGGTGCTCTCCCTGGAGCAGTGGTGTGCCCGTCTGGATGGTGAGGACACAAGGATATCTTCTCTGATTTGATACAGATCCAGTCCTCCTTTACTATTTCTAGCTTTTAGCATCAAGACTTCAAACTATGTTGAATGATAAATCATCAATATATGTTTAATTCATTCGTGTTTGTTCATCAATCAATGTTCAGAACATCATTTTCTGTGATTGTTTGTGCAGAGGAGTTGCAGAAACGCAACGAGGTGATCCAAGTCATGACTAAACGTGTGTGGGAGGTGGAGACCAGGAAGGAGGAGGTCCAGAAGGAGCTCAGCTCAGCTCAACAGCAGCTCTGTGAGCTCGAACAGAAGCAGCAGAATATCAGCCAGAAATGTCAAGACTTTGAGGTACAATTAAAACATAAATACACATTTATATTCACTGTATTGTGTGGAAATAAGACAGATGTAGAGCTGGTGTTTTGATTAACCAGAGGTACATTTATCAGATTTATCAGATTATCGTCTTGGTGGTAGTTAAAGGATAAGGCTGGTGGTATTCTATGTTTACACTTTGATACACGCAGTCAAAAATAAGCTAAAATTTAAAGGAAAATAAAAGCCACACAATGCTGGTTGCTATGATAGTTGGTTTTGGTCTTTTCATGGGATTTGTTGACAATAAGAATTGTGTGTTTGGGGGAACATAAGCTTGTAATATCTTTGTTGTAGAAAACAGTCTCAGTATCTCTGCCTTCAGGGTTAAGTTTCTGTTGTGTCTCTTAGGAGAAGAACCAGAGTCTGAACTCCACCGTCGTGGCTTTGTCCACTCAAGTCGGCTCTCTGCAGGTCAGGGAGGAGGAACTGAGCTCCATGCTCAAACTCAAGGTACTATTACTTCTTTGTATCTTCCATAAATATATGATAGTTTTGTGTCTTGTATGGTTTCTGATATCCTGGGACTTTTATTTTGTCCCCCATCAGGACGAAGATGTGACCGAGGTCTCTGGTCACGTGGTCGACCTCACGAGGCGCCTCGGAGATCTGGAGACGACGGTAGCGGAGAGTCGCTCGCGGGAAAAGAAACGCCGCCACAGAGAGTCCAGAAGATACGAGATCGCTCACCTTAAAGGTACACCAGTGACATCTTCAAACTATATTCAGCTGACTCTTACATGTGACAAAAAAGAAGCAAATCTGCACATTTGAGAAACTGAAAATGGACATTTTTTGTTTGAAATCAATCATCTAAAGACTTGGCTGTTCATGTTCTGTTCATTTACTAATATATGAAGCTTGTAATCACTCCTGAGTCCCTGTATTTGTGTCTGTCCTGCGGGTGCAGAGGAGCTGCAGCAGCAGGTAACACAGAGCAGCACTCGGAGAGAAGAGATCATCCGTCTCAAACAGGAGCTCCAGCTGCTTCGTAGAGATCTGGCTTCAGCAGGTACATTGAAGTGCAGCACGACGAGTCCTCTCTCAAGCTGCCAGTGTTTGTAAATGATTTATTTGGTTGAAATATAAGTATCTATTGTCTTCATCTGTTTCAGGATTTTATTCATCCACTGCATCCTGCTTTTTAATTTTTCTTGTATGTCTACTGATGTTATTTTACTTTATCTTTTTGAATCAGCTTTGTGATCCTTCATATTTCTCTGTATATTTTATCTTATTTTAAGTTTTTTAACCTCTATGTTTAATATTCTTCGTGGTGCTTCTAACTTGGTCCTTTGCTGGTTAAACAAAGAGATATAAACACTGCGAAAAATCAACAAAACACATTTTATTGATGGCAAACTCAACAGAATTCAGCCCTATAAAAGATACTCATCATTTAAATGATATGAGGGCTGTAGCCATGAATTAATGATTTAGTCTAAAAAGCAGAAATCCTCACGTTTGAGAAGCTGGAAACAAAACATCTGTCATTTTATTATTAATGAAAGAGCCACACGACAAGACAGAGTGATCGCTGCAGTGTGTGTGTGTGTGTGTGTGTGTGTGTGCGTGCGGTGAAGATGACCGTGTTTGTCTTAAGAATCGTGTACAATCTTATCTCTGCAGTCTCTTGATTTTGATCCGTGCAGTCGCTGAGTTTTTCAGCCTGAAAATGAAATGTTGCCGCTGAGATAAGAGCAGCGCTTTGATGTCTGCCACCAGGGGAGGGAAACAGCTGGAGAGACGAGCTGCTGGAGCTGGCTCGCTCCAAACAGGACCGCACCGTGTCGGAGCTGTGCTGCTTACAACAGGTACACTGTCTCACATGTGAAGTCTCACAGAGGGATGTTTACAAGAAAAGAGTCGTATACAACAAAAACACTTTCCCTCAGCAGCCAGAAACAGACAAAATATTCTGTAACAGAAACACTTCTTCAGTTGTTCGATTACAGTTCAGAGAATTCGTCATTTCCTCATTCCGGCTGCTCGCTCTGAGGCGTCTTTCTGGTTCGACAGCGTTCCTCAGACTCTCGCCTCTGTTCTGTGTCACCGTCACGTCCATTACTCACTTCAACCACACAAAGTGTGTGTGTAGTCACGCTTCTTACATTATATCACTAGAAGGGCTTTTAAACATCAATAGTAGGAGCAAAGTCAGCAAGTCTTTGTGTAAATATGTTGAAAGTAATGATACTAAGTGTTTGTCTGTATTAATATAGAAGTATAATGAAACATAATGACATCATATATTAAGTATCATTATGGGATTTATGCTATAGTATAAAGGGAAATGTTGTAATATAGTTTAACATTATATATATAGTATAGTAGAGCAATATAATCCTTAATATTCAACATCAACATTAAATAAATACATAGATTTTTATTTCGATCCATCTCGTGTCTTTACATCGCCCACATATTGGGTTGTTCTATATATATATATTGGGCTATACGTCACATTACAAAAGATAAAGAACTGCAGTTTCACTGTGACTTATAAGTGTAAGGCTGTTTGTATCTGACGCTCTGAAATGTAAATACATAAATCTGTTCCTGTGCTCTGCAGGTGTGTGAGAATCAGAGGAATGAACTGCAGCTTCTGCAGCTGAACCTGTGAGACCCTGAGGGAGAAGAGCGGTCAGGCGACACCCGACAGGTGAAGAGGGGACACACGGAGAAGAAAAGTGGATGCATGATGTAGTCGAGGGTTTCATATTTTGGCTGTAGACACTGGAGGCACACACTCTTTGTTCATGTATTAAATTGCAGCAAAGTGTTGACATGAATCTTGTCGGGTCTACAGTTGTTTGTCCTCCTTTCATACCTGCAAACTTGTCACTTTTCGGTGAAATTCACCGTTTGGAATCAAAAATATATCATCCACGTGGATCGTGTAGATCCGTGCCAGCGTTTCTCAGAGGAGAAAAGGTGATGTCGTGATCTTCACAATAGAACATCTTTGATGTGTCGAGTCTGGCCAATCAGCGTTCGGATGTCTACAGCGTCTTTCCCTCCGTTAAAGTTACGTTATGTTACGTTACCATTCAGACTTGCTGAAACATGCAGCCCCCCCGTGTTCCGGTTCAGTTCACGCGGTCACTCATTAACGTTAAACCGGAACACCGGCGCATCTGGTTGCAGGTTGTTTTTTTAACTCAGAGTAGAATGAGGATGATTTCGTGGTCAGAATAACTTTCATGACCACAAAACATGAGGCCCAGATACTGATGAGATGATGAGGTCAAAGAGCTCCAGGGAGAGGATGCTGTGTGTAGCGCAGCTTGACGCAGGGCTGAGATGTGAGTGGAGCTGGGCCTGGATAAAGGTGGAGATGGGCCTGGATAAAGGTGGAGGTCTAAACAGACGTGAGTACAGCTTCCTGCTGTCACAGTGTTTTAAATACATTGATAAGGCAGGGTATGCTAAATGCAGCCTCTGCTCCAAGGAGATGAACTACAGCAACAAGGGCTCACATGTCCTCTCATCTCACTGTTCACTGTGATGACCACAGCCAGTGCACCAACAGTCCCAACAGTCCCACGTTGCTCTCAAGAACCCTGAAGTACTGAGAGGGTTAAGGTGTCTGCACCTTCATTTCAGCGGGTTGCTAATGCAGAGGTGTGATCACAGCTATTATTTTACTCTTGATAAGCTACTTTACCCAGAGTAGATTATCATTTTCATTTAAATAATTGAACTGGATTGAATGCATATTAATTGCAAATAGAAGATAGGCCACAATTCTACCAGCTGTACAGTAACAGTGGAAGTTAATATGAAGTCATACAGTAACAGGGTTCAATGAAAACGAATCACTTTATTTGTACAGGCGATGGTTCTCACTACTCCTGCTGTCTTTGTTTTTATTTGACTAAAACTTTTGAAAATGAGACCTCGGTCTCTATGGATTTTGTCTAAATAAAGGTTAATATTAATAATAGCGCTGAAATACTGATTAATAACTGAATAATTAATTAGTAATAAGTTTTGCTTAAAGTAAATGTCTTATCACTTCATTTTCTTCTCAGAGTACACCAGAATGCTACATTTTAAGGCTCATATGTAAATTAAAATTAAAATCTCTCTCCAGGGTGATGATCCGCTGTCCAGCTGTTCTCTGCAGCAGCTGTTGGATGAGTCCAGCCGGCTCGTGGGTTTAGAGCACAGCGGCTCTGTACTCTCTCACAGTGTTCCTACTATGAGCTGTGGGGTCGCCGACCCCCCTTTACTCCCAGAAGTGCCAGACGTTTCTCCACCATCACCAGCCAGCCAAGGTAGAGGAGTCTCACGATGCCGGTTTGTATTCATGAGGCGTGGCATCGAGGGTGTAAAACGCTCCTTTGACCTGCTCCTCCTTGTAGTTTGGGTGTGTTAAGACATAACAGCTTTATTTGTATTTTGTTTTCATCCAACAGACCAGCGACACTCCACCCAAAGCCTGCCCTCTTCTAAAGTCAGCCACCTGGACAGCTTGACATTTACTGAACTTCAGTATTTATTGAAGGGACTTCATGTAACTAACTGTTAAGCATTTAATTCAGAGTCAGTTATTCAAATCAGTGCTACAACAGAAGCTGTGTGCACACAGCCAGAGGTTGAACTGTCCCTCAGGGAAATGAAGTGATAAACATACTGTCATGTCGTGAATTTGTAGCTTTTTATTCCCTTAATCTTCGGTGCCACTGCATACTTCTTTATGTACACATGTGTTTTTTTAAAGCGTGTTTCAGATTGTTAAAGGCTGTATTGTGTGGAGTGGGTGAGACGTGAAACCAGTCCTACAGGGCTGTTGAGTGGTGTGTCTCATTGTCTTTCCAGTTTCACTGCCTCCAGATTCACCCGGTGACTCAAGAGGAAACGTCGATGGCTCTCAATAGTTTTTACATTTTAGAACCTGATCATTACTTTTGATTAAAAAAATATTTATATGTAAAAAGCATGTCATTGATGTTTTATTGCCTGTGAATTAATGCACTCATTTTGGCGAGTTTTCTTTTAAAAGTGCCCGTTTTTACGCAGTTGGAGAGCTTTTACGCGCAAGAGAAACGGCTTTGTTTACCTGGATGTCAGTTTAGTTTTTAGAAAAACTGCGATGTTTTAATCTGAAGAGGTGAACTCAAGGGGGAATCTTTTGGGGACATGCGCGCGGAGCGTCTTGCGCACCTATTATTATTTTAACCAGGCACGAGAGCACAGACGAGGAGCTGAACCCCGGAGCTGGACCTCTGTGTGGATTCATAGACTTTTAGTGTGCGTGGTGTTTCAGGGACAACATGAGCAAAACCAAGAACAAAACCGACAATAAGACGGAAAAAGCTTTGGCTGCCGAGAAAGAGCAGTTCAGTAAACAACAGGTAAGAAGGTTTTTATTATAAATCTAACTTTAATACCGCGGAGAAGACGCCCTACCAGAAACTCTGTGAAGCTCAAACCGTCAAAAAAACTAAACATTTTGAATATTTCAGTGGAAATATTGTAAACGTTTTCATAAGTTTGCTTTAATAAACGTCTGCTCTCTTGGCTGTGATAAATCCATCTTAGTGTTTTTGTTTTTATCTTAATAAAAGCCTGATGTTGAAAGTTGAATTGTTTGAACTGAGTTGAGTCTCTTTTCTCTCAGCTCCACAGCATCAGCAAAACTCTGGTCTCCGGTGAGACACCGCCGAAAGAGAAATATGTGCGCAGTATCCTTTTTACCTTCAACAGCAACTTTGATCATTTACTGACAAATTACATCAAGTAATCTACTCTGTTGGGCTGTACTCTGAGCAAAGAGGGAAAAGTCAGAGGATCACCAAAGTATTTAAGGTTCATCCTCTGGGAACCTTGAATGTCTGTACGAAATTTCATGGCAATCTGTTGAAATGTAATCAAGATATGTCACTCTGGACCACAAATATGAATCTCACGGTGGAACTAGAGGTAAAGTCACAGGATCACCAAAGTAATCAAGGTTCATCCTCTGGAGGACATGCATTTCTGTACAAACTTTCAAGGCAATCCATCGTGCAGTTGTGGAGGTATTTCAGTCTGGACTAAAGTGGCGGCCACTAGCTGCTAAAATCCAAACTCTTTCTTTATTAGATGTAGAAACACACATCTAATTGTTATCACATCTAGTTTGTGCGTCAGTATTTTGGAGTTTCCTTGACAGCTTTGACGACATCATCATGGGAACACATAAGGAGGGTGGAGCCTCCACCTTCTGGTCCTACACCCTCAACCTGCCTCTGTCCAGCAACTCCATGATCAGCTGGAAGTTCTGCTACCTGCTGCACAAAGTGCTCAGAGGCGGACACAGAAACGTGGGTTTGAATCCGGACGTCCTCCTCCATCTGTTTCTTCTTTGTCCTCTCTTTGTAATCTGCCTCCTCTCTGTTCCATCTGCAGGCTGTCAGAGATTCTCACCGATACTGCAGAAATGTTAAAGATATGGGCATTCTCTGGGTGAGTAGCAGAGGTGGAAGGAGTGCTTAGTGGCACCAATCCAACACTGTAAAAAATACAAGTAAAAGTAAAGTGAAAGTATCACCAGCAAAATATATGTAAAGTATCATCAGTAAAAGTACTCATTGTCCACTAAAATGTCTTAGATAATACCGAAGAGCTACTTTTAACTACTTTATACACAGTCAGCTAATTTAGGCCAGTGGTTCCCAACCTAAGGGCCGGGCTCTCCAAAGGGTCACCAGATAATCCTGAGGAGTCAGGAGACGATTAATGTGAGAGAGAAGAAGAAGAAACTGAGTTCTGGTACATTCATCTGATTTGCTTTTCTGACTTTTCTCAAGTTTTATCTTTTTTTGTCAGATAATGGATCATTTTTTTTCCAGTTTTATAAGTGAAATCCATGTGAGAGGTTTTGGTATAAATGTCTCTTTGATGGAACAACAACATGACAAGGAGCCCTGTTGTAAGAACTGGTTTAATCTTTAAAGAATTGTTTGGTTTTAAAATGTAAAATCTTAATCGAAAAGTAATCGGTACTCGTGAAGCATAAAGTACCGAAACTTCCTTCTGAAACTATTATTTTCATCCTTTTGAAATTAAATGGAGTAGAAGTAAAACGCAGCTTGAAATAGATAAAAGAAAAACAAAAAAAACAGTACTTCCCCCACTGGTAAATATATAAATATTATATATTTAAATAAATTAAAATATGTGAAATATTGAATGCTAGACTTATCAAATAAGTGTCTTCTTTTACAGCTCTTTTAAATAATGCAGCGTGGTCCTGATCTTCAACTAGGGGAATTTTATTTAATGTGTATTTTATCTTTCTAATTTGTATCGATGACAACTTTGGATTTGTGTTGCAGGGAAACTTGCATGATCGATACGGCCACATTGTTGCCTTGTCTGCCAAGTTCCTCTGCCTCAAAATGGAATTCCATGCAAAGGTAGCACATGAATATTTGGTTTTATGGTTCATACAACGATATGTGACGAACTCGGAATGATGATGATGATAAAATGAATCCACAGCACAAGATGATCCCGGGCAACCTGGAGGCCAGCGACGAGACGTTGGAGAGGGAAACGGGAAACGACGTGAACAAATTGTATGTTTTCTGTCCACGACTATCCCGGACTCGGTGTTTCTCATTAAAGACGATTCATAAATGTGGTTTTAATGTTATTGCAGGTTAGATATGACACAGGAACTGATGGATTATTGGGACGCTGGGCTGAAGATGGAGGACACAGGTGACGTGTTTTCTTTTTATTATACGATAGCAAAACTGTCTTGAAAGCGTTGGATGGAAGCGAGTAATATTCTATATTTCTGTTATTGAAAAGACCAAAACCAACAGCGTGCTAGTCTGTCTCTCAGTGCTCTCAATTTAGCTGCTGAAGATGTGCTCTTTAAACATGTCTCATAAATAAATAGTTTAATTTACAAAGAGATAAATAATCTCCTCAAACAGCTGGTTTCAAACAAACAAACATGAAGAAATAGTGCATTTGTTTGGGACTATTCCCTGTGGCGGATGAATCCAGATTGTATGTGTGATGGAGTCTAAATAAACTACAGTGGGTTCATGGTGATGGAGGAACAGTGTTTTTAATGGAGGTCTATGGCTCAGAGGAAGAAGAGACATCAGGCTTTGATGCACACTCCTGTTATGGGATTTAGCGACAACAATAAAGATATAGAACGCCACCAGACTTCTCCTTTAATTTGCATTTGTTTGTGTGTTTTTCGTGTTTAAAGTTCTGCGTCAGCTGGACGCCAACGGAGCCAAATCCACGACTCCAGCTGGACGGTGCCGACTGACTCCTCTGATTCCTCTCATACTGGACTGCAGCTTCCTCTACCACTTCTCTGTCCTGCTGATGTTCAAACTTCACAGCCGTGAGTCACATGGAAATGTCAATGTCAAGGAATTATATATTATTTGTTTATATGTTTTATTAAATCACAACAATGATATCCTCTGGTTTTTAGGCATTGCTCCGGATGTTCTTCTTGGACATCGAGAGCGGTTCCGTGATCTATTTGTCAGGTATAGTGTCAGTATTGTCATGAGGCATAAACACGCTTTCATATCTCTTATTGGTTCTGTTCGTGACCGTCTCGCTTCCTTTCTTCAGCCTCACTCAGTTCTTCGACCGAGCCAGAGAAATGGAGTTCTTTAAAAGTGTCATCCAGATCCCAGATCTCCCCGATGTGAGTATCCTCAATGTTTCCACACGTACGTTTCATTTGTGTGAAGTTGTCAATATGTTTAAACTGTTGCACAGTTTGATTATTTACAAAATAAATACAATTCATCAAAAAATACTGAAGCTGTAAAATATTTAGTGGAGTCAGAAATATATTACCTCTGAGATGAAGTTGAAGTATGAAGCGGCATAAAAGTACCTCAAATATGTACTTTAGTGCCGTACTGGAGTAAATGTACTTGTTTACTGTATATCCCACCACTGTCCGTCATGCACGTGTATTGTGTTTGTTACTCAGGCTCCTCCAAACTTCCTCCGCGCCGCTGCCTTGGGTGAATATAAAAAGCCGGTGGTGTTGATGTCCAACGAGGAGCGTCATGACGAAGAGGAAGTGGAGACGCAACCAGAGTTCAGATCAGCGTCACCGATGCCGCAGGTACGTGCAACTCAAAAAAACATGATTAACGTTCATGTTTTACCAGCTGTTTTTCTGGTCTCACGGCTGACGTTTCATTATCTCCATGGCAGTACTATTCAGTGGATCAGAGGGGCACAGAGAACGAGAGTCTGAAGAGAGAGCTGGAGGTGCTGAAACCAGAGCTGCAGCTCCTCAAGACTGAGGTAAAGGACAGACTCACCACACGTAGCCGCGAGACGTCCCGGGTTTGATCGCCTGTTCTTTCCTCAGGCTCAGAGGTGTGTCACTGAGTTGAGGGCTCAGGTGAACCGCCTGGAGGCCGAGGTGGAGGAGCAGCGCACCCACAAGCAGATGGCCATGCTGGAAAAGGAGCACATGCGGATGGAGGTGGAGGCTTTGAGGAGCGCCAACGTCTCCAACGTCGGGGCTCATATCGGGTTCAAGGAGGCAGACAGTGAGTTAACAGATATATCAGTGATTCATATATATGATACATTCCACTGATTCATGGATTATCAGACAAAGAGACAAAATACATAACACGTTTAAGTGAAACATGGTCCTCAGATGTTAGAAGACAAAGAAAACACAACGAAGCACAAGACGTTCAACAGAAAAACGAAACAACAGAAAAACAATCCGGAAATTTAAAGACACCAACTTTTTAAAAAATAAAGAAATAATAACTCCCACAGCATAAAACAATTTTGCATTAATGTATCTCATCTAATTAATGTAATCTGCTGATTATTTTCTCCATTAATCGATTGATTGATTGTTTGGTGGTTAAATATAGTGAGAAATGCGTCACAATTAAAGTCTAAAGTGACACCTTCACAATGTTTCTTTAGTCCAAACCTCAACATTGAGGTTTAGACTGATTGATTCATTTATAAATCTGTTACTGTGCTCCATTAAAACCTCTGAACCTTTTGTTTTTGTTAATTGATTCTTTCTGTGTCTCCTCTTCATCGTCTTCACCAGCCAGAGCTCAGGCAGCGGAGCTTCGCTTCACTCAACTCAAAGAGAGACACGCAGAGCTGATCACCAGCCACGCCGACCTCATGAAGAAGGTAAGAGAGAATACGCGTATATATCTCAACATGTCAAACTGTTCTCTTATTAAAGGCCTTGTGTTTGTGCAGAACGCAGAAACAGTGAAGCTGCTCTCGGGTGCAAAACACGGTCAAGACGATTGGCTGAGAAACAAACAGCAGCTGGAAAATGAGCTGGAAAATCTCCGACAGCAGAACAGAAACACGGTGAGAACTTCTGACGGCGATAACACCTCCTGATGTCATCTTTTTGTTTCCACCAGAGGAACTCTTCTTGTGCCGTCGTGAGTGTTGATCAGGTGTCTCCTCTGCCGGTCAGATGAATCAGCAGCAGCAGGAGGTTCAGCGCCTGAACAAAGAGCTGCTGGAGCAAAGAGCACAGCTGGCTCACGTCCGCGGCACTCTGGACAATAAAGTGATGGTGAGGCTGAATGTAAAACAACAAGAGGACACACTGTTAGTCAAAGCTTAGTATTTGTGTTGGAAATCAGGAAACACACCAAGAAGAAGAGCTTTACTCGGTAGAGCTTTCTAACAAACCCTCCATCAGGCCAAAGTTTAACTCCCTTTTTGGCTTTTACAATTATAACCCTTTTACTTACAACCCACAGAAAAGTGGGTCCTCTTATCTAGAGGCTTGATTTGATGACTTCCATGTTTCTGTCTCCTTCAGGAGGGATCTCAGGCGAGCAGCAGCCTGGCGGCCCTGCAGGCGGAGCGCGATGCGATGCTGCACTCGGCCAGAGAGAGAGACGCGGAGCTGTCCTCGCTGAGGCAGCAGGCCCAGCAGCAGCAGGGCTCCATGGACCAGGACAGAGACCGGCTCCTCCGAGATCTGGAGGCCCTGAGAGCTCAGCTACAGCAGCAGGTATGGACCCCTGACTGAGGACCAGCACTTATTTGTTCATTTGTTCATTTCAAGCACCGCTTTAAGTCCTATGTAAGTGTCTTGTGTTTCTTTTTCCTGTTTATGTCTTATGTAAAGTGTTTGCCCGTACATAATACAACTTTTCTTTCCAAAAGCTTGCCATCAACGCAGAGCAGAAGTTGGAGATCGACAGGCTGAGACGAGAGCTGGACTCGACGCGGGCAGAGTTGAACCGCGCAAACAACGCCCTGCAGAGCAAAGAAATGGTGGGAAATTATTTCTAGTTCCTTTTCTCACATCGTCTACGTGTTGGGAGAAAAAAAAAACTTAATTGATCCATGTTTTAATCCTCAGAGCGGCACCCAGCTCAGCAGCTCTCTCGCGGGGCTGCAGGCGGAGAGGGAGGTGCTGCTGCGCTCCATGAGGGACCAGGAGGCCGAGCTGAACTCCCTCAGGCAGCAAGCTCAGCTCCACCAGAGCTCCCTGGAGCAGGAGAGGCAGAGGAGCAGCATGGAGCTGGGAAGCCTCCACGCTCAGCTGCAGCAACAGGTGCTGCACGCACACACACACACACACACACACACACAACCTGCACAGTGAAGCGTTAGTTACTGATGTATATGTGTGTGTGTGGTACATCAGGCCTGCCGTGAAGGAGAGCTTTCCAAGAAGCTGCAGGAGGAGCAGTTCTGCCTGCTGCAGTGTGCTGTGGTGGAGGCCGAGGGCATCATACTGGACGCTGTGGCCAAACTGGACGACCCCGTACACGTCGGCTGCATCAGCTCACCTGGTAAAGACCTGTGCATGTATACAGAGATACAGTGCATAATACTTATTTATACACATATATACAATAAATGAAGTTCGTCCTAATAACGTTAACCTGACAACTCTTTATAACGTTTGTTATGAAGACATATATTACATTATAGTAACTGTGTTCCTCTCACCAGTTCTCCTTTTGTGTTTCAGAGTATTTGGTGAATCGAGCTGAAATCACTCTGAGTTCCATCGACAAAATGCAGCAGAGCCACGTGGTCTATCTGGGAAACACGAACGGTGAGCAGAGTGTTCAGGTTCAGACGTAAAGTTTATGTTTAGATGACGAGTGTATTTACTGCTCCTCTACTGTGAAGGAGGAAGTATTCAGGACAGGACTGTCATCTGAAAAGCAACGCTGTCAGACTAATGTAGTGAAGTAAAAAGTACAATATGTACCTCTGAGGTGTAGTACAGTAAAAACTACAATATGTACCTCTGAGATGGAGTGAAGTACACTAAATGTACTGCGTTCCATCTCCTCTCCTCTGTTGTTTGGTTGTTTGTAGATGCCAGCGGTTTGTTGAGGGCCGTCACTCAGTTCTCTCATCTCGCTGCCGACACGATCGTGAACGGATCGGCAACATCTCACTCTGCTCCCACCGACCAGGCCGACCGTAAGAGACGCACGCTCACACTGTTAGAATATATAAACATAAACTAATAAACACACGATGCACAAACCGTAAGACGCTCCCGTGTCTTTGTCTCCTCCAGGTTTGACCGACAGCTGTCGGGATTGTGCGAATCACTGCCTCCAGTACTTGAAGGATCTGAAGCTTCAGGCCACTTTACAGAGAGCAGATCCCTCCGCCGTGCGCTACACCGTCCAGCGCATCCTCGCTCTGGGACAGGTGAGACGCGTTTCCACCTGAGAATGATGGTTCCTCTGTAAACATACTTTATTTAGTAATCTTTTGGATTATTTATTGTATATTAACTTTTTTCGTCTGGTTTTTAATTCTGCTTTATTTATTTATCTTTATATTTAATTAAATAGTATATGTTACCTTTTTAGTCTGGCTTTTAATTTAGCTTTATTTACAATTTATTGTACGTTACCTTTAGAGTCTGCCCTATAAATTGAGCTTTATTTGTTTATCTTTGTAATTATTTATTGTATTACACCTCGTTAGTCTGGCTTTTTGAGCTTTATTTATTTTCCACGGTTCATGTGTACTTAAACTGTATAATGCATTTTCATATTTGTGTTTTATATTTATTTATTTTTAGGATCTGCGTCCAAAAGGACAGGATGTTCTGAAAGAGGAGCTGGGAGCCATGGTGGACAAAGAGATGATCGCTACGTCGACGGCCATCGAAGAGGCGGTGCTGCGAATGGACGTAAGGACGCCTAACAAAGTCCACACACACACACACACACACACACACACACACCGAGTGATGCTTCACGTTTCTGTTTTAAATGTCTGTTTCTCAGGAGATTCTAAATCAGGCAAGGAGAGAAACTACTGGCGTGAAGCTGGAGGTGAACCAGAGGTGAGACGAATGCTCCATGAAACAGTTTCAGCTTCTCCCATTCTTTTTCTTTCCTGAAATCTGTTTTTCTTCTGTTTCATCTCAGCATCCTGGGATCCTGTTCAGACCTGATGAAGGTGAGAAGTCTGTCTACTATTTAAAAAATACATTTCTGTGAACTTCTGTGGTTCATTGTTTGTTTGTCAACTCGGTGTCTCTTCTGCTCTGGTTCTTTCCTCTGCAGGCCGTTCACATGCTGGTGACGGCGTCGACTGACCTGCAGAAAGACATCGTGGAAGGAGGCAGGGTGAGTCAGCATCTTCTCCGGGTTCTGTATTAATCAAACTTCTAGGAATCAAGACACGTTCAAGAGCGCCACATTAAAGCTCTTTTACAGTTTCAGTTTGATTCATTCACTAAACGACCACGTGCTGCGTTTACTGACACACGTGTAATCGTTCTTTCTCTAGGGAGCAGCGTCCGTCACAGAATTTTATGCCAAAAACTCTCGCTGGACAGAAGGCCTCATCTCTGCCTCTAAAGCTGTGGGCTGGGGCGCCACTCAGCTGCTGTAAGTGTCCAACACACACACACACACACACACACACACACACACACACCTAGTGTTGTTTACACGTCCTGAATATCAAACCACATCATGAAGTTGTGCTTCACCTCTTTGCTGTCAGAGACTCGGCCGACCGCGTCGTGGGTGAAAAGGGAACGTACGAGGAGCTCATCGCCTGTTCTCACGAGATCGCAGCGAGCACGGCTCAACTAGTCGCTGCCTCGAAGGTACGAACTACAAACTGTGAAGTACTTTACTGGAGTATTTTTACATTTCATGGGACTTTATGCGACGCTACATTTTAGAGAGAAATTTTGTACTTTTCACTCCACTGCATTTATTTGAGAGCTGTGGTTACAGGTGACTTTTTAAATTCAGATTTTACATTAAAACGTATGCTATGATAATGGCTTGTGGCCTCTTCCAAAAAAAAGTTGTGACATTTAAGAATTGTTACCAGTTCCACCAACGTGATCTGGTCTTAAACTACCCAGAGTCTGGTCTTAAACTGCTCAGATCTGGTCCTAAACTACTTAGACCTGGTCGTCTTCTGGGTCACAGCTGTTCAAGTCTCAAAGGAGAGGTAGAAGAGGTCAAATTATCCAGTATTTCATTAAAAAGTAAAAATTTGACGGAAGTCCTAAAAATTAAAGCACGTCTGTGTAGACAAACTTGTATTTGAGCAGCTTGAATCACCCAAATTACAAACCAGACATACCTTCACACTTCCTGTTCCTCTCGTGATTGATGAAACATTTCCATTTACCTCCATTCTTTTGAGCTGGAGTCAGATATCTTTAAAATCTGCGTAGATGGATTCAGGTTTGAATAAATGTTATATTTCTTGTAATTGGTCCAAGGTATTTGTTTTTGTTGTCGAGAAGTGCTGACTACCCTCTCTTTTGGAGCGTCATTAAATTCTATCGTTTCAGGTGAAGTCCGACCGCGGCAACAAGAAGCTGCACACGCTGAAGCAGGCCTCGCGTCACGTCAACGACATGGCGGCCGTGGTCGTCACCTCCACCAAATACGGGCAGCTGCAGATCTCTGACCAAGGTGAGAGAAGTCCTGTCACTCCGTTTCATGCTGCACAGTTTAATGGCCGTCCATCAAATAGCGGTTGAAAGCTTTAACTCCGTGATGTCTTCACAGGTGCGATGGACTTCTCCGGCTTGTCTCTGATCAAACTGAAAACAGAGGAGATGGAAGCTCAGGTGAGGCGTTCAAGTCCCCGACATTTAATCGTCTGGAGAACCAGAACCAGGACTGAGAGGGGCAGACTGTCAGACCTGCTGCAGTAAAATGAGGTTTTCTGAAGGGAGTCTGGTGCTCAGAGACACTACCACTTTAGTCCACAGGGGGCGCCAGAATCAACACCAAACAAAAGTTCCTTATCGTAACTTTAAGTGACGTTTTCAATGCAGGACTTTTACTTACAATGTAATTCTAATATGTTTCCTTCAGTAAAGGATCTGAATATACTTCCTCCATCGATGGTATTTTCTGTTGATTGAAAGCAGCTGACGTCGTTGTGTCCTCTGGATCTTCTCAGGTGAAGGTGCTGCAGCTGGAGAGCCAGCTGGAGCGGGAGCGAGTCCGTCTGGGGGAGCTGAGGAAGAGGCACTACGAGCTCGACGCCTCCGGTGTTGCAGCCGACGACGCAACCGCAACCGCCGCTGCTGACGGCGGAGACGACAGCTTCCCTCCGCCACCGCCGCCCACCCTGCTGGACTCCTCACAGTCCTTCTCACCGACGCAGCCGTACCTGAACACCCAGAGCTTTGCATCGACCAATCCCTTCGCACCGGCTCAGACACAGCCTCAGTCCTTCACACCGACCAACACCGTCACACCGACCAACGCCTACACCCCGTCTCAGACCTACACCCCTACCCAGACTTCCATCCCATCACAGACCTACACCCCTACCCAGACTTCCATCCCATCACAGACCTACACCCCTACCCAGACTTCCACACCTTCTCAAACCTACACCCCTACCCAGATCTCCATCCCTTCACAGACCTACACCCCGTCTCAAACCTACACCCCTACCCAGACTTCCACCCTGGCTCAGACCTACACACCATCTCAGTCCTACACACCAAACCCGACCCAAACTTACTTAACACCTCAGACTTCCTCGCCCAGCCTCTCTCGGCCTCAGTCACCGTCTCTGCCCCAGACGAAGACGCCGCCAATGCAGAACAACGCCGAGACCATCAAACCGGCCTCGAGGAGATCCAACATCTTCACCAAATCTGGAAACCTACTGAAGAATGCGGTGAGCGGCTGAAGATGCTGGATGTTCACCATCATATATGTTATTAATAAGATGAAGTTTGTATAAATGAGTCTTTTCTTCTTTATTGCAGTTCAAACGCGGTGAAACTGGAACTGGGGAATCTTGAAGCCGGACTGAAGAAGAATCTGACATTTTACTTAAAAATCTCTGGAAATATAAATATACTCATAAAACTTAAAATCACTGATTTTAATCTGGCCTTATTTCTGGCTCTGTACATATAAAAGATTATAGGAGCTGAAGAGAAACTTTTATAGTTAAATGTCCAAAATTATTTTTGTAATCATGCTGAAGCTTATATTATGTTACTGATTGTTGTCGTATACCGAGTTGATTTATTAAAAATCATAAAATAATCTGAGGCAGAATGCAGCGGTTTGTTTCATCTGATTTCTGATGTGCAAGGTTTTAAATATTTGTCACATGATCCACATAGTTTCAGTCAGAAACTCATTGAGTTATGAGACAAGAGGTAAGATGTTTTACTTCACTACATCTCAGAGGTACATATTGTACTTTCTACTGTACTATATCTCAGACGTACATATTGTACTTTATACTCCACTACTTCCTTCAGACCAGTGAAGGTCTCTTCACGCTGTATTACCGCGTGACAGCGACCTCATCCGTCTGCTATTTCTGTCATGCGCACTGCAAACTGCAATCTCACCACTATGGAAGTAGCCGCTGATCTCCCATCGGGACCAAAGTGGAGCTGCGTCAAGTTAGAGGAAGGCAAGACAGATAGATACCGGAACTAGATATATATTACCTTCAAAATAAAAGTAAAACATCTGATATGTTGACTCCATGTTTGGAGATTAGTCACATGTTTTATTATGTTTTATTATCTTCAGTAGTCTGTTCACTGGTGAAATGCTCCATTTCGGATTAACACTTTAATTTATATGCTTTTTATTCACAATGTATGTTCTGCATCATAATTTGAAAGTAAAAAAATACATAAAACACTATTAATATAATATAAAAAGTAAGCCCAGAGACCCATGAACCAAGGAGTGCTCCAACCTGGCTGGCCTCAGCTTTAATTAAGAATATACACTACCCTAAATGCACAATCTAAATGAATGTAATCACGTTTTTAAGTCTAGATTTTGCCAAAACATAAGGTAATGGATTTGGTTTAAGTTTATTTTATTCGAGGATTTATTTAGACTACCTATATATGCACATGTTTTGTACATATATTGAATCTTTAAAATAAAAAAATAAAATTCACGTCAACATTGGTTTTATTTTGAAACGTCTAGACGGAAGTTCTCCGTTTCAAAATGGCGGACTTGACAATAATGTCTAAGAGAAGGGACAGGACAGCAATGGGCCGCAGCCGATATTTATCCCAAACAAATCAAACTACCACCGGGACTCAGCCGTTAGTGATGGATAAACGGTAGTTAATGTGTTCTTATGCGGTTATACGTCGTATTTGTTTGTCGTTTTAAAGGTAAAGTGGTAGAGTTTAGCTAAACTTAGCAGAATTATTCTTCCAGTGGGAGGAAGTTTGCTGTGGCGGAGGAAAAAGAATCATAGGAACTATCCCCCGAAATCATAGGAACTATCCCCCGAAATCACAGGAACTATCCCCCGAAATCATAGGAACTATCCCCCTGACATCATAGGAACTATCCCCCGACATGGAGGACTCCGGCTCGGCCCTGGAGAAGAACGTCGCGGACCTCACGGTGATGGACGTGTACGACATCGCCGCGGTGGTGGGCCAGGAGTTCGAGCGGATCATCGACCGGTACGGCTGCGAGGCTCTGTCCCGGCTTATGCCCAAAGTGGTGCGTGTGCTGGAGATCCTGGAGGTGATGGTGAGCCGCAACTGCATCAGCCCGGAGACCGAGGAGCTGCGGCTGGAGCTGGACAAGCTGCGGCTGGAGCGGATGGAGCGGCTGGAGAAGGAGAAGAAGCACCGAAAGGTCCCCAAAAACACACCGATTAAAGCTGTACTGTTAGAGGAAATATACTGCTGACAAGTATTAGTAAATACATACACAGACTACATGTAGCAGGGACTCAAAGGTACTGTGATTTAACCTGAGGAGGAGGAAGTTATCATATTATTTACTGTAGTAAAAGTACCACTACTACTAATCCTCCAGTACAGGTCCTGCTTTGACAACGTTACTCAGGAAAAATATCAGTACCACTGTCACAAAATAAGCTCCATTACTAGTAAAAGTACACCTTTTAAAATTGTACTTTAGTTAAAGTATCAGTACCACTGTATTGAAAATATAAGTACCAACACTACCAGAAAAATACTCCATTGCAAGTACAATCCCTCCATTGAAAATACAAAGTACAAGTCCTGAATTGAAGATGAACTGGTTGTGGTACATAACAGTACAGAATACCACTTTAAAGTATTATGTAAAAAAGTAAAAGTTGTGAATTGAAAATGGTACTTAAAAGTATTATTACCCAGAAAATGTGCTTAAATATCAAAAGTAAAACTACTTGATGAAGAGAAATGGTCCCTATGAGTGTATATCTAATTATATACTTACTACATGTGTATATATATATATGCATATTTATATATATATATAGTTGTTTCATTGATCAGTTCATTTATTGTTTGGGTTTTAAACTTTAGACATTAGTGAGAGTTACTCGTGACAGTTACTGTAACACTTGTTTAGTCCGACCAGCCGTCTCACCCTCACAATGAATCTGTTTCCTGTCATTGAAGACGAGACGTGTTTGTCATGTCTTAGAGATGCACTTAGTTACTTTATTTAACTCAGTCAGATAGTTCCTGTTTGTTTAGCTTCAGATGATGACAGACAATCAGAACTTTATCCCCGACTCAGCAGGAAACTCTTCACACACTTATATTTGTCGAGTGTGTGATTGTTTCCAGTTAGTCACCAACGTATATTTGTTGGTGAGTTGAATTAAAGGGACAGTCGTGATCTTTAGAAGTGTTATGAGCGTCCTCAGCAGAACATTGCTTTGCTCGATCTGCTGTAGCAGAACAGTGACTGTGGAGAAGAACCTCAAACACACTTCAAACATCACGACTGTCCTGTTGAAGCTGCTGATGTCTCTTTAAACTCAGTATTGAGGATCTCACACACACTGGAGGGACGTGGTGGTGCTTTTACATCAGGAATGCAGCTCAGACGTCTATAAAAACACTTGATGTGTGAGTTCCTCGTGACAGTGAGTGAGCGCTCACCGGTTCACTGATTAACTGAGTCTCATGAGTCTCATGAGTCTCATGAGTCTCATGAGTCTCATGAGTGTGATGAAGAGATGAAGTGATGAGGTGGATGTTTTACGGCTGAGACGTCACAGCAGAAATACTCTGTTAAACTCTCTAACTCAGTATTGTGGTGTGGTACAAACAACGTAATGTAATGATTAGAATAACCAAAGATACCAAGAAAACCAAAGATATTCAGCTTATTATCAGTTTATATTCAGTTTATTATCACGTCTGACAAGAAAATAATCAGATCTTTAAGTTTGAGAAACAGGAAACAGATCATTTGGAGCATTTTTGCTTCAGAAAATACAATTATTTGATTATGAAATTAGCTGTCTGTCAGTCAACTAGTTATTGCTGCTCTAAAATAAATGTAATATAATTATTAAAATGCTAAAGTGTGTATTTTCACACAGTTTGAAGGTGGAGTACATTTTATCCTCTACAAACAGTTTTAATGCAAACTATATAATAACATTTCATGGGGCGGTGCAAAGGATTTATATTTGTTTACATATTTATATTTTACTAAGAGTTTGCAAATATTGTATGTAGCTGAAATAATCTATTGATTAGTTGATTTTTTTTTACACTATTTATAGATTTTCAGCCATCAGAACAAAAACAAACGTAACCGAGTGAACCACACGACCACAACATGTGACATTCTGATAATTAATCAATAATTCATATTTTAAGTCAAACTGTATTTGGTTCCATCTTCTTAAATGTGATGATTTGCTGCTTTTTCTGTGTTTTAAATCATTGAAAATTCAATATTTTTGGGTTGTGGACTGTTGAATATATGTGCAGAACAACGTACACAAAGAAAACATAAAAACAGTGATCCATAACTAAATGCAGATTATCAAACAATGCTAAACAAACAAACATGATAGTTAATCATCTCGTCTCCACTGGCTCAACGTAAAACGCGACATATAACCCGTTCTCTGCTCGGACACGTCAGCGACGTCTGACATCGTCGTGTGTGACACAGAACCTGATCAGAGAGACAGAGCAGCTTCTCTCTGCACACAGACGGCGACGAATTAAAGGACAAACTGGAACAAACCAGAAGAGAAAGAAAACGAATGCTGATGATTCAGAGAGAGAGAGAGAGAGTGTTGAAACAGTTATTATACAGGTGGCGCATAACGACATCCTGAAGGCCTCAAAGACCATGTGCTTGCTCAGATAAGGTCATCTTTATGATGTTTAATAATGTTCTGTATAGTAACACGTGACATGTCTTCCTGTCCTCCTGCAGGAGCTGGAGCTGGTGGAGGACGTGTGGAGAGGAGAAGCTCAGGACCTGCTCACTCAGATCGCTCAGCTGCAGGAGGAGAACCAAAGCCTCCTCACCAACATGTCCAACAAAGACCCCATGAGTGAGGAGGACCTGCAGAGGCACGAGGGTGAGGACGGCACACACACACTAACACACACACACACACACACACACACACACACACATAAAGGAAGCCTTCTCTAGTGTCTGACGGCGAGCCAGTCTTGTCTCTGCATCAGAGGCTCTTTCGTGGTTTCACACAGAGGACACAGTCACCCTGACACACTGTGGACAGACCAGCCTCAGTGTACAAGCACACCTGCTCCCCACACACACACACACACACACACACACACACACATGTTTGCACACAAATCAGGGTTCCCTCTGTACGGCTAAAAGACCTTTCTCTCCCAATAAAAAACAACGATTATGAAGAATTCAAACGATTTATTTGTGTGTGTGTGTGCGTGTGTGTGTGTGTGTGTGTCCTCTCTGTGGTCTCCAGGTATGACGGAGAGAGAGAGGCAGGTGATGAAGAAGCTCAAAGAGGTGGTGGACAAGCAGAGAGACGAGATTCGAGCCAAGGACCGCGAGCTCACGCTGAAGAACGAGGACATAGAAGCAGTAAGACATATTATTTTATCTTCTCCACGTAGAAATGTGTATTTGTCGCCTGCAGAGAGACTTCACCAGTAGATGAAATAAGAGAAACTCTTTTTTTTTATTATGAAAAGGTCTTTAAACTGCCTCAGTTTTAATATTTCATATTTAAAGAATAGTTCCCACAAGTGGCCAACACACACAGCACATGAAATGTATTTTTAGCTGTTTTCACTCATTCCCGTCCTCTCATACTCTGTAAATATTTTTCATAATTTACCCAGACTCCCTTGTTTGTGTCCGTGTGTTCCTGCAGCTCCAGCAGCAGCAGTCCCGCCTCATGAAAATCAACCACGACCTGCGCCACAAGTTCTCCGTGGTGGAGGCTCAAGGGAAAGCGCTGATCGGACAGAAGGTGGAGCTGGAGGCCGGAGCGCAGGCGCAGGGGCAGGAAGTCGGAGCCCTTCGGCAGGAAGTTGCACGCTTGAGGGAACGACTTCAAGGAGACTTGCCCGCCCGGAACCCAGAGGAACCCCCACCTCAGCCCCCCTCACCTGCAGAGGTAACGCAGGAAACCATCAGAAGACCTCCATCTGAGGGTGTAGACTGAATTTAATGTTGAAATTAGTTTTGCAAGAAACCCCAGAAAAATCTGTTTTAATAGATTCTATTATTATGTAATGGCATAATTTTGCAATGTAAGTACAGTGCATTGTGGGTAAAAATCTGGTCTGTTGTCTATTTTCATCCTCTTTTTGTCTCAATCTTTCTGTCCTGTTTAACATTTTGCTTTCTTGCTGAGCTGTCTATTCTGCGTGAAGCTACAGCCCGGAGACCGTTAACTTAGCTTAGCATAAAGACTGTCCAAAGGTAGAAGAGACCTACCTTTTTCCACCACATAGTCCCCCATAAAACCACAACTACAAGAAACTACATATAAGGTGTTAACTAATGAGCTTTAGACACAGCCAGGCTAGCAGTTCCCCTTTGTTTCCAGTCTTTATGCTAAGCTAAGCTAACCGTCTCCTGGCTCTAGCTTCACATTCAGCGTACAGACACGAGAGTTGAATCCATCTTTTCATCTTAACTCTCTGCAAGAAAGTGAATATGCTTAAAATATGCTCATAAATATAAATGCAGCCACAGAGGCCAGGCATATTATTGTTCATATGTTCCAGTTTAAAAGAGGTCTGTTCACTGATATTTTCCAAACCCATATAACATAATAAATCCCTAAAGAGCCGCGTAGCTTTGACCCAAAGTCAGTGAAAAGGAGGATTTCTTTGTAAACGGATAATAAAGTGTCTCTTGCTCCACCAGCGTGGCAAAGCTGCTACGGGGGTGGTGGTGGGGGCTGAGGGCTGGTCAGACAGACCCGACCCCTCTGAGCCGATGTTGGGCGGGTTTGACTCTTCCTCGCCCCCCCTGCTTGGTTCCCTCAGCCCAGAGGGCCACGAGGAGGATGAGGAGGATGAGGAGGATGATGAGGAGGATGAGGACGAGGCAGTGTTGCTTTGGGTAATACGGACGTGCTAGCTGGCAAACCAGAGTGGTGTGATTGTCCCGACTCTTAACTCCAAACCTGCACCTCTGAACAACCAGATCAGTAGAAACACAGCAAGCTAGACTAACATGAGTACGACCCAGAGCAGGTCTGACCCGGCTTGGCGTGCGTGTTACAGGACTAACAGAGTGTCGGCCAGCTGACCTTTCTAAACTTAGATCCTCTCGACAGCTCGGCCTCTAACAGCACTGACAGTTCTCCTTGAGCTGCACCGTGATTCTGAAGTTGTAGTTGAAAGTCCAACTAAAATTGCATGATGTTTTCTGCTCCAGTGTTCTCCTCTGGTGTCCCATATTTGCATATGAATTTGTTTATTTTCTGTGTACGTTGATGCCAGAACTTGTTTCCAAACAGCCGATCAAACTGCGTCATTTTAAACCATATTTGCATTTGTGACATCGTCGTCAACGGTCAAGTTTTCATCCCGATGCAGCACGAGTTTGAACAAATATGAATGAATATTAATGCATGTGTCCATCCACTACTGTTATGTTATTAGTAGAAGTGGCGCTACTTCTTCAGTGAGGTACCGTTAAACTATTGCAGAAGAAGAAGAAGAAGACAGAACGAGATGAGGTCATTAAGCTCCAGTCAAACAACGGAAAAACAGTTCTGTTTGTTTCATGTGAGGAAGAAATTACATTATTTTAAAAAGCAAAATAGTAAAACTAAATGAGACTTCTGTTGGACTGAGAATACGTATTAATGGTGTTTTTTGTGCTCAGTGCATGAGTGACTTCTGTCAGCTGCATGCGTCTTATTTTTTAACGGTGACAGTGAACGTCTCGTGTGTGCTGAGTTCAAAACAAAACGGAGTCTTGGCGTGAAGGGAGGAGGGAAGGGCGAACAAATGTATTGGAACAAGGCCCGATGTCTGACTTAGAGTTCACCGTTTGCCACCAGGAGGCGATGTGCGATGAGGACATGCCGGCTGTGTTCCAATATTTTACAAAGGTATCCTCACTTCCTTCCCCCGCCTTCGTTCCTTCCTTCCTGCCTTTTCTTTTTTCTTTTGTTTCCTCTCTTGTGACGCATTTGTCTCTCTGCAGGAGGCGCTGTGCGAGGAGGACACGGGGGGCCTGGACCCCAAGGACCCCAACCGGCCCCGGTTCACCCTGCAGGAGCTGAGGGACGTCCTCCACGAGAGGAACGAGCTCAAGGCCAAAGTCTTCATGCTGCAGGAGGAGCTGGCCTACTACAAAAGGTGCTCACGGGCACATAATATACATGTCAGCCACATGATGACGGCCATGTTGTTGATAATAAACCCTGTTTTCTTTCTGCAGTGAAGAGACAGAAGATGAGATTGTGACTCCGTCTTCGTCTCCGTCTCCTGAGCTGAGGACTCGCTCCCGTTCTTCTGCCCAGCCGGAGTCAGGAATCAAACGCCTGTACGTTGAAAACACAGACCTCACTCAGACACAGCTGCTCGTGGAAACACTCGACTGAACTTTGAGATTAGTTCAAGTCAAACGCACCCTCATTGCTTTGCATGCGCTGAGGAAAGGCTTATTAAACAAGTCCCCGCATGCTCAAACATTTACAGTTTACTCTTTAAGAAATATACAAGTTGAACCTCACCAGCAGTACCCGACGGTCGGGACTCTTTCAGGCTAGAAACATTGGCTTTGTGATAATATTTTAATATTTTTTGCTGCGCTGGATGTTAAACTAGATCACTTCATATTGAGTCTTAAACATCGACCGAACAAAATGTCACCACCCATAAAAGAATCACATTAGTTCCAAAGTTAAGATCCAACCACAGCAATAGTTGTGTAAAAACAACTTTCAGCGACTCTTAACTGGACACAGATCATTCTGTGCATTCGACCCGCTTCCTGCGTTTGTTTGGCCTGAAAAAACAAACAGCAGCCATTTAAAATTAGTCATGTTTCAGTGTCATTGGATCTTTTTTCTCCCAAGAATAGATGTGTGTGTGTGTGTGTATATATATATATATATATATCTCTAGAAAGCAAAAATGACTAACAACATACAATGTCTATAAACAAATACAAATAGTGTAGATGATTCAAGGTATTATCGGTGAATCTGACATGTTTTCACAATGTTTAGTTTCATGAGTCCAAAACCAACAAAACAGAAGAAAAGCTGAGACTGTTTTGTCATTTAAACTTTATACTCTGCTAAAGAAAAGTACTTTTATCGATTATTACAATTGTTCTGTTGACTGACTCACCAACATAGCTCTTTTTTTAATACTCATTTGTTACATGAGTGAACACAGTGCAGTGTAGTTAGGGAAGTGATCATGTGTCCCATCAGTCACGTGATAGTAACGGAGTGATGTCAGACAGAAGTATAACTGCTCAGTCTGTGTGCGTCTGAATACTCGTTGTTTATCTGCATGAAGGATGCTTCAGCTCTATCAGACACGCTCGCTCACCTCTCTGTGTGCAGCATGCTTTGGTCATAGGTCAGCTATAGCACATGACACACACACACACACACACACACACACAATCTTACTGCATGACTTCTTTTTGTTTAATGGGAACTTTTCATGAGAGGCCGAAGGTTGATGTGGTCCCTGCCCCCCCCTGTTCGTCTCCCCCCTCCACCCCCCCTCTTCTCTATACACCTCTACCTGTCTGTGCTTGTGTGTCTTTACCTTTGTGTAACAGGATCTTCACAGCCATTTTGCCGATGGTGGCAGCTGGTTTGATCCCAGATGACCCCACTTTACAGCCAATCAGACGTCTCATATCTCTTGTATGACCCTCTATCCGTGTCCGTCCCTCCTTCAGCTGACAGCCTCCCTCCCTTTGCATGTGCAGCTTGTTGAGCCTTTTTTCCCACCTTTGTAGTATTCTGGTTGGCTGATTGTGGGGCTGTCTCGTTATCATTGTCCAATGGGACGATGGCGGATCATAAACATCAGCCAGTCAGAACTAACATGTAGTCTGTTGGAGTGACGACATGTCTGCAGCTCTAAACTCATAAAAATCATTTACAAACTAAAGCGCTTTTAGCTCTTTTCCAAACAGTGATTGAATAACTTATAACAGGCAATGACCTCATCGTGTTTCACTCTACTTTGCTGCACTGATCATTCACTTCCAGTTAAAACATAACTTATTTTATTGTGAGAGTTCTCTGGAGCATTCAGGAAGCTGTCAAGAGCAGATAAACTCATTTGTTTACAGTAATAATACCAAGAAATCTCAATTAATTTGCCAAAAATAATAACGGTAACACTGCTTCACTGCCCGCACTACATACGTGTTCACTTCACGGACACGTCCATCAGTGGACTTCACACTAAATCCTCTGTCTCCTCTCCACCCGTCTCGTCTCTTAGGTTTAGTTTCTTCTCGCGGGACAAGCAGCGGAGCTCGCAGCGCGGCGGGCAGTTCGACGCGGACCTCGGCTCGTGGACGGGGAAGGACGACGTGTACACGGAACAAGCCCAGGAGGCTTTACAGCACATGTAGGGTCACCGGACAAACTCCAAAAACTCTGAGCACTCCACGTCCATCACTCGAGGCGGCTCGTTGAAGCGTTGGACTGCAAAACCACGACAAGTGACTGAAAATAGCACGCGCTCCTGAGGTGAGACAGAAAGAAGAGAATCCTTAGAAATGTATTTAAACACCTGAGAATACTTTACATACATGCTGTATATCTCGGTGAGCACTGGCACATACAGACTTTAAACAGATGTTAGAGAATATGTCGGAGGAGAAGGCAAACTCAAGTCATAGGATGGAAAGGGGAAAGTTGGTTCCTGAAGAGGTTCAGCGGGTGAAAGTGAGGACACAGAAGAAGGCCGGGGACACAGACGTGTGCTGCTAATCTAAAGTAATGTTTGCTCGTCGATGAAACACGAAGGTTTTACAGTTTACGATCGATCACAGAAAGCATTCAAAGATGAGAGCAAGCAGCACGTTTGTGTCCCTTTTTATTCGGGTTTATTTAAAACGTCTCCTGGTTCACGTGAGCAGCTCGTTGGTTCATCACCAGCACTTTCACACCAAACTGTGCAGCTTCAAAGAACAGGCACAGAGTTCAAAGCTTTGTGTGTAAAATGTTTCACAGAATCACAAACAGATGCTTTTTATTTATAATCATGCAACATGCAGTAAGTAGGTATGGAAGCCCACTTCTGCAAGAAAAGGAAGAAATAAACACAAACATATGACCTGATAAAAATAAAATGTAAAAATAGTTTATTTTGAATTACTATCTCTTCATTTTTACTTAACAAATCAACTGTTTAGTAAACAGATGCAGAATATTAGAAAAACAAGCTCATAACCTTTAAACACTCCAGAAACATTTTACAGAAGCCGTGTGTTAAACTCCTTTACCTTGTTTTTATATATTAGTAAAGATAAACTATTTTAATTATCATGTCTATATTTAGAGAATGCTTAAAAGATAACTCTGATATTCCATGTTTTTCATATTGTCAACAAATCCCATGAAAACTAAACACAATGAGTGAATGTTACTGACTAGTATTACTTCATCACCATGAACACACGGCAGTCTATTACACATACTGACCTGAGCACCACATGTGGATTCATCCGCTGCTGAAAATAGACCCAAACAGAAGCACTGATTCCTCCTGTTTGTTGTGTTTGATGCGTTTTTAAACATTCATGTCTTCAGGAGGAAGGAGTGGGATTCAGATATCATCGAACAGTTTTGGTCTTTTCATGAGATTTGTTGACAATAAGTGAAATATAGAATAACGGCAGCTTTAGCTTTATCCTTTAAAATCACTCGTATCTTCCTGTAAGTTTGGCATTGAGACATTATTTTTGCAGGATGAAAGGAAAACTAAAGAACTGGAAACATTAAGGATCATGTTCAGGGTTTACCACTAAGTGATGCAACATTAAACATTTCAGTTTATTTTTCTAAAGCTACCTTTATCATATTTATAACGTCGTATTGGGGCCATTAAAAGTAAACAATATAAATAAAAACAAGATGTATAACAATTAAAAACAGAGCCGGGGGAATATTCTGATTAAAAACTTTTTTTGAAAATAAGTTATTTATTTTAGATTAAAGTGGTAAATCTACGAGAAAAATTTACTCTAATTAGTATTTAGTTTTCATATGAAAAACGCCCAATTCACAACAATGACTCTTCAAAGTCTGAATGCTGAAGATGTTTTTATAAAATAAGTTTTTTTTATTTCATAAAGCGATAGCGTCTGTGGTGTGATGAGGTCGATCCAAACCTGCAAAGTGATGTCAATTCTCACCAAAAAACCCCCGAATTTTTCAGAAATGTTTTCTCATAACACACAAATTTATTATTTATTCTTTAAATGTATACTTTATAATCTCAGAAAATATCACATTTTTTTCTTGTAAATTTGTGGTATTTCTTTATTGTTAATTGTGATTTTTTGTTTTTGTTTTATTCTCTGAATTAAACCGCCTCCCCCGGCTCTATACGCTCTACTTCACAGCAATATATAGTTGTACATTTAGGTTTGTTAAATGAACCCGTTGACTTGTGCTTTGATGCATCATTTATACAAAAACTGAAATATAAACATGCTTCCAAAACTATGTTTTCAAATCGTTACATAATAAGTAACATTTAGATATTCCTCAGATTGTGTTGAGGCTGAGAAGTTGTAAATGACAGAAAGCTGGAGTGTGGTTTTACAGCTGAACTCTGATGTTCCCCTGAGAGGAGAGCGAGTCTCTGTGGAGTGTTTAACAGCAGAGGAACCTCGTTATCTTTATTTATACTCTGAGGTGAATCAGTGAATGTAAAACGACAGGAACACCACGACGAGTGTCTAAAGCAGCTTTTCACGTATTCACAGATACAAAAGTGCAGCGATGAGACGGCATCGTATATTTAGATTTCACCTGGAAGTCAAAGGGACATTTTAGACATGAAGACACTAAAAAGGGAAACTGGTCAAAAATAAGACGTGTCCAAACTCTCCAGCTCAGTATTTCAGTCTGAGCTGCTCTTCATCTCTCATGTGTTCATCTTATTAAAGATTAAACTGATATTTAAAAGATATAATGAATGGATCAGTGCTTTATTTAATGAGCTGGCTTCACATTCAATAATAAAAATGATGTCCTGTTTGAGGAATTTGTCTGTTTTTTACTTCTTAGCTGTCGGCAGTACTTCAGTACAAATACATATATTTTTACATAAATATATATATTTGTACTTAAGTACAGTACTTGTGTATATATGTGTAAACATGTTTGTTTGTATATACATACATATTTATATACACATATGTATACACACATCCATATTCCCTCTCTCTCTCCACTTTAATAATTTTGCATTTTTTATCTCGCGAACTACACAAATGACAAAATGATTGATTTGATTTATGGTCTTGAATTAAGCAAAGAAATCAACATTTGTACTCATTCAAAAACTTGTAATCATTTATTTGAACACAAGAACAAATCGGATGCCAACTGGTGTTACTTGCATATTACATCTTTATTCATTGATGCCTTAAACCCCAGCATTCAGATTTATTCAACGCTACAACAGCAAAGATCTATTAAGTCCTAAAAATGGCCAACAGGTCAGTTTTGCCTCTTCTGGTATTATTCCATTACTTCTACGTTTAAAAGAAAAGTGGAATAATCCAAAATGGAAGAATAGAAACATTTCACACATGTAACACAATGCTACTGTTAGAGAGGCGGGGGGGTTAAATGTGTTTCCTGAAATGTGCTTTATTTATAACACATATGCGACTGGGCTCTACGTATTAACACTGATTATTTATGATATTTAAAAAGCATTAAAACAGCGACTCCTGAAAGTCAATAATGTAAATATTTTGGAAACTTTTAAGAAGTCCTTTTCATAAGTTTTGAACACTTTCATGGAGAATCTGTACAACCTAAACCGCTACAGAGATGATGAATGACGTCTGAAAAATCCTTTTTTTATTATTAAGTAAAATCTAAAATAATTCAAATGACAAATAGTTTGACATTTTGGGAAATACACCTTTTCTCTTTCTTGCTGAGAGTGAGACGAGAAGATCGATACCTCTCACGTCTGTCGGATGAATTTGAAGCTACAGCTACAGGAGGTAATTAGCTTAGCTTAGCATAAAGATAGCTAGCATTTAGCTTTGGCCAGAGTAAAAATAAACATCCTTAAAGTAATTAACACAAAATATTACATGTTGATTAATTAGTGAGCATCAGAGGTGGTGACTTATATTACCAGAGCCAGGCTAGCTGTTTCCCCCTGTGTTCAGTCTTTATGCTAAGCTAAGCTAACATTCTTGTAACTGCTGTTGAATTTAAACGATCTTGATCTTCTCATCTCGGCACATAATTCCCAAAACGTCCTACCAAACTAAAGATTAGTAATTTAAAGAACTATTATAATTTAAGATAATGCTATCATTAATACAAACCGCAACTATAAGAGGAGAAAGTGCTGCACAACTAAATACATATAAATGTGTTATAATGCTAGACTGACGCTGGTAAGATATATATTTTTAAATTTATACTTCATTCATGAAAGACTAGAGCCAAATTATTGTACCGAACCACTGACGTCAAACAATGAATGTTTAATATATTTTAAATTGTATTATGTCCTGTTACTATATTTACATAAACAGATGTTCCTAATATTTAGTTCACAGTTAATAAATCCCATGAAAAACTAAACCAGCAGTGAATGTATCTCCTGTTAGTATTGTGCATGTTTATCAAAGTCTGATATCTCTAGGGAGACGAACACATGTTGGTTTGGGATTCATGAGATTTGTTGACAGTAACAAAAATAAATGTATTATTCTGATTTAAACACTTCCAGGTGATTCAACTGTAAACTGCACTACAAGTGGCCAATTTTTTTTTTTATTTATACACACTAATTTGCAATTGGTACCAAAGTAGAGCAATAATTCAAGCTAAAATACTATAAATTTGATTCTTGTGGTGCGTAAATCATAATGCGCAGAATTGGAAATTTCCTTTGAAAAATACTTTACGTACTTATTACCAATTAGCTACAATAAGAACAAAAATAATTAGTCTCACAATGTATTTGTAGATGAGGATAAATAAAACACAAATCAAGATAAATGTGACAATTTTGGGGCATATTTTTTCTGGCTACAATTCATAGAAAAAACAAACTTACTAAAATATTAAATTTAAAAAAATGACCTGTTGGCAGTTCAGCTGTTAAAATACTTTCACATGGAACAATATGAATAATATTTTGTGAGGGGGAAGAACAGACTTGTAGAAAACCTGCAAAGATAAACGCAGTGGGAGTGTAACAGTTCACCAAAGACACGGTTCACCTGAAGCTGGTGCAAATAAAAACATCACATATGTGAGAAATTCCCAGCAGACGCTTTGACCTATTGTGTTTAAGTTTGTTTGTTAAAGGAAGAGTTTGACATTTTTGTAAACAGACTTATTCACTTTCTTGCTGAGAGTTAGATACCGCTCACGTCCGTATGTTAGCTGTGGAGACACCGCCAGCAGACAGTTAGCTTAGCTTAGCATAAAGACTGGAAATGGGGGGAAACAGCTAGCCTGCCCAAAGAGAACAAAATCTGCTAGTTATGCGAGACTGAGCTGTTTTAAACACGACTGAGCTACTTTATATTTTATTAGGAAGCGTTTAAGGCGGCTCATGATTATTTCTAGCTATGCTAGGCTACAAGCTATGCTAGGCTATGCTAACGAAGCTGAGTTATGAAGCTGAGTTTGGTGGGTTTGAAGACGCAATAACAAGACCGAGGAAACTATTCACACTTCAGTTCATTACAAGGCTGGAACTGTGTTATTATTTGGTCTTAGTTCTGAGATAAAAGCCTTGTAAAAGTTTAAATCTGTTCATAGAACCGGAGACGTTTTACGTTAAATGTAGCATCTTGTGGATGTGGTTTTGTGTTGGCTCAAACGGAGGCTTCATACTTTCATATTTAAAGACATGTCAAACTATTCCTTTAAACCACCCGTTGACTTGCCACACCAAACCATAATAAATATATTTACACAGTGCAGTAATATAGACAGCATAGTGAGTTTAAAGTGAAATAAAAAGGAGATTTGACAGCTGAGAGCGCCAACTAGTTAATCACGAAAGCCAGTCGAAATATGGAGAAACTTTAATTCTATTTATATTAGTAGATATTTACCTAATAACCGTTCATACACTTTTATTTTATCAGGAATAACAGAATATACTCGTGTCTTAAATATAAAAAAATACAATATAGGTTTAAAAAAAAAAAAAAAAGCATGAAAAAAGGAGTGTAATTTGACTAATTCCTATGTCATCCTTAGTCTGTATGTTGATTCATGTTGTTCAACATGAATACTTGTTTTCAACACCCACTGAACCATGCGTTTGGTAAACTTTTACGCTTCCACTAAACAATGGTAGACTGTGTTGAGTTTCGACTGCTGAAATCACAACAGAATATATTCATAATTTGCATCTCATAGTTCTTTGCTGATCCCAAAAAACAAACAAAAGAAAAGGTCTCTGGGGCCTTGTAAGTATTGCTAAGTATCTAACGACTAATTAAGAAAAACGCAGTATAAAAATGCAGAGCATTAACTACCACCTGCATGCTGTAGAAGCACTGGTCTATAGGTAATACAAAATGTACAAAAGAAATGTGCTGCAAAACAACCAGAATGTTTCATATACACATAAATAAAAAGTACAGAGGTCATCTGACAAAGCAGACGGACATTAATCGAACTGTGATACGTACCCCGTCAACACGTAACCCCCCCATCCCACCTCAATATTGGAACAAAAAGGGTCCACATTCTGTTTCTAAGGCATTTTGTACACTAGCTAACGAGAAACACAAGTGTTGCTGTGAGTTTCCCTTTTTCTTTTTTATATTTTGTTTGTTTGTCGAGGAGGATCAGTGTTTGAGCCACGGGTGCGCTGCGATGGAGGCCTTACTGCGGTCTCCGTAGTCGTAGAGCAGCTCCTCGCCCTCGTCGATGTCGCGAGAGGCCACGAGGATGAGGTGAGGCACCCCGCCGATGTCGTGGAGTTTGGTTTGGCAGTTTCCGGTTTTACTGTGATTTATCAGCCGGCCCATCCGATTGGTCTCTCCCGTGGCGTCCACACTGTCGAAAACAAACACAATCGGTATCTTCAGATAAGAACATTATTTATCCCGCACCAGAGATATTAAATTCAAAGTTCTATTAATTGATTTAATTCAAAGAACATAGAATGGTCTTCTCTACATGAGCTGAAACTTTCAGCAGCTGATTTTCTGCCACAGTATAATACAGAGTTTGGTGATGTTGTGAAGCAGCGTGGGATCATGGGAGTTGTTGTCTTCATTGTAGTCTTTAGGATTCCTTCAGTGTTTGTAGTTCAGGAGGTTTTTAAATCACAGAGTTCTCCTCCTCTCCAAAACAAACAGACCAGCTGATTGAAACACTCAATAAAAGCAGCTTCACGTTAAAAATCTGTTTCTCTGACGACGTTCGGGGGACGCGGGACGTCCTGAGAGACGAGCTGATGCTAACGTTAGCTTAGCTTATTCCTCGTACAACTACTAGAATAAAAAATTAAAATAAGAAAGTGTATTTAAACTGGATATAAGTTCAATTTACGACGGCATCTGAGAGAAAACCACAAAGCACAAAATGTTTAAATGTTGCAGAAGCGTTGATTTTCGTCGTACCAGTATGTTTTGCTGAGGTACTGGAAGTAGTACATGTAGCAGCCTGTGGCAGGGTTCTGAGCGTACTCGGCCTCCCTCGTCTTGGCGTCGGTGATCTGCAGCAGGTCTCCGTGGTACTCCACCACGTACTCGCCCTTCTGGAAACACCGCGTGGCAAACACCGCTCTCCCCTTTCCTTCTATATGCTGCACCTATAAATACAAAAATAATACAACAGTACGAGAGGTTTCAGGTTAGCTAAAGCTGTTTATTTTACACATTTGATGATGATCTTTTTCACATTAATTAGCGGTGCAAACAATAAGAACAAAGCTGGCATTGATTTTATTTTCCTGTCAACTTCCTGTTATCTCATCCTCTTAATCAAGCCCTACGACATAGAGTACATATATTCCTGCCCTGATAATCAATGTGATTAATCATGTGATCACTTAAGCTTCCCTCTGACTCTTGGCTGTAAGTCGGAGTGAGTTTCATTTCTCTGATTGAATTTACACGACAGTGAAAGTGAAAGCACCGTGTGACCACTACGAGGGCGGAGCCATGTGTGAATCTGATGAATTACCTTTGTTTCAATTCAAATGTTTAGAGAACAATCATTTGTACCTCCATTCCTTCTTCTATTCCCTTTGTGATGAGTTCATCTGTGAGCTTCTTTTCTTCACACTGGGAACAAAAAAAAGAAACACAAGACGACGTTACTGACAAGGAGAAGATTGGATTTCACTCACATTTAAACCAAATCAAGCGCACTGGAACGACATTTACTGCTGCATAGTACTTACTACTACTTCCTTAATGAATGAAAAACAGAGGAAAATTAAACTATAATACTTTACAAAGCAGAACAGTAAATTATTAAGCAATGGTGAAATCGTTATCAAGCTTTTTGTCCTGTGAAAAAGTCGTAAAATGCGCTTTAATAAAATGTTTACAGATAAAATGGAGTAGTAATGGTTTCGCTGCTAAAGAAGTGATATTGATGGAGAGATTACCGTCCAGATTTAGTTGTAATCATTAAGATTGTGTGTTGCTTTATTGATTATTTTGGAGGAAGCAAAATGTGTAATCTGTCATAAAGTCAGCTAAATTAAAAATAAAGAGACTCTAAAAGACTATAAACAGACTAGCATAGCAACATTAATGCTACAAACAACCCTTGTTGTACTCGTGTCACAGGATAGTTAAAGGAGCTTCATTCACAACATCTGCTGTTGTTAAATATATATCTTATATTCATGTCAATACGGTAATATATACTTTTAATAACCATCCCAACAAATACATAGAATATCAACTCACCTTAAGTTCTGTTTTACTCTTTCTTGAGCTTCGTCTTATTGGATAGTAGTCGGTAACTTTTCGGTTTTGGGAGTTTTTCCCGCCTGCACTGAAGTGGAAAAACAGAGTGCAACACATTCTTACAACTATATGAATAAATATGACTCAGATCGTGTCGTTTGATAGGATTTCCTTCTTTAAAAACGCATCAATAATCAGGACGTGCTTACATTCTTAGTGTGGACTTCTTTCCTTTGACTTTGAGGCGGACGCCTCTGCGCTGGAGGCCGTGGAGAGCGACGATGCTGCTGCTGTTTTTGTTGTTGTTGTTGTTGGCAACGTGGAGGGGAGCGTGAGCTAAGCTGTTACCCAGCGGCAGGGGGAGTCCGGCGGGGGAACGAAGGCAGGTCTGAGCACAGTGGAGCTGCGGAGGCGACCAGCAGGGTGAACACTGGCTGGAGCTGCTCTCCATCTCGGGGAAATCCGTCTCAGAGTCTTTTGGTGTCGAGCTGATGCCGTTTGTTCTCCTGCCTGGAATGGAAAAGGTATTTTATTCCTGGCGGTTCAGTGAAAGCTCGCCTCTCACTGTTACATAACCTCCCAAAATACTGAAATAAATAGATGTCTGCTTGCTCTCCCGATGGAGCTTACTTACCCTCTGCCTGCCTCTGGGCGTCATTTTGCTGGAAGCAGACTGGAGAGCCCCTCCCCTCCTGTGTCAGCTTGATATCATCATGAACCAGTGATCTGGACTTGGTGCAGCTGAAGACAGTGACTGAGTGGCTGTTGCATACGATTTGCTGTGAATGCAGAGAGAACGTGCATTAAGTCTACACTTCCTGCCAAGAGTGGTTTTATTGACACAACCTTGTCCAACGTTGGTGCAGCTGTATGCTTCGATCTTCCATGAAATAAATCAAATACAACGATCGAACACATAATTAACAGTGAAGAGCTGCCAAAATAGACATATAATGAAGAATGATAAAGAAAGATAATGCAAATAAAGAAAACACAGTCCGACCCAGAAGCTACTACAAAACAATCCTCTTACAAGCTGCAGGAAGTAGAGTTAACACTAGAAATGTTACGAACTTCTGCCCAAAAAACTGATCAAACAAACTATATATTTTCAACACATAAAAGGAACACTTCATCCTTCAGTTTATCACAAATATTCAACATCAACACATCTGGAGCTATGTGTTTTTTACTGGACAGGAAAACTGTCATCTGAGAAGTAAGCGTTCAGTCAAATGTAGTAAAGTTAAATGAAAAGTAACATAAAACCAATGTACTCAAGTAAAGTACAGGTACATTACAACAGTGCAGTACTTGAGTAAATGTACTGTCCATTACTGGATTACCATGCTGGCTCCACACACCCACATCAACTCTCCCATCAGTCCCTTTAAATCCACAGGCCTCTTGGCTCATTACCTACTGGTCAAACCCACTCAAATAAAAAAATCACTTCAAACGTTACACGTTTAAACCAGATTCAAAAAAACAAAAAGGGACAACTTTAATGTGTGTCTTCGGTGTAATCTGATATCATAAATACTGTTAATGTTCTCAACTAGCAGGCACATGTAACGTGAAGCTAATGTTAGCAACAATGTAGCTACTGTAACTTACCCCGTTCATGTCCGACTTGTTTTCGTGGCTCCCCGCTCGGCTTCCGTCTCTCTTTCTCTCTCGTTTTCGAGGACCACAAATAAAATGAATTTGTCCTCCGGTTGAGAGATTAAAACCTCGGCAGTGTCCTCCCTACTCTCCGGCCCCCCCTCCCACGGTGAAATGTGTGCCCTTTTTTGTTGTTGTTTCACTGCCAGCAGCTCAACCGATGCAGCCCTCCACAGCTCCTCTCCGCCATCTTTTTCTCCATGTAAATGAAGGAGACGGAGACGAGGCAATGTCGCCCCCTGCAGGCCGGCAGCGGTATTGTGTTTGTAACGATTAATAATACAAAATATTATTGAAAAATATATTGTGATTTATGATTACAAATAAAGGCTTCAAAAATAATAAAGTCTGCATGTGTACCAGCTTTAACATTAAAGTGATGAACACATTACTTCAAGGCAGTCATTATAATATATATGGGGGGGGGGGGGGGGGGCACATCCCATAATCATAAATAAACTTAACAAATGTACCTTATTATTATTATTAGTACCGGTTATATTTGCCTATTACAGTGTACTTCAGTTATGTGTGTGGTTGGTCCAAGTATTGTAGCTGTACTGTCTCTCTATATCATGACTTTTAAATGTATTAAAAAGTGAGTTGTGTGTATATGTTTGCTTATGCTTGTACTTCCTTAATTCATAACCTCTGTCATTTAAAAAAAAAAACTGAAGTATTACAATACACTATTAGACATTATTAATGTTGATTGTATTGTGGATTAATAATCTGAATCTGTCGTGGAGTATAAAGCCCACAATGGGGCATTCTGCACACCGATTACCTTTTCTTTTAGTATTTACTCAAGTACTTATGGAAGCCCATTTCCACCAGCCAAAAAAACAAAACAAAAGGAAACAAAAAAAAAAGATTTGTATATGTTTTTGCTGGTGGAAAAAAGGAAGAAAAAAAAAGATTATTATTATTATTTTTTTTTTACTTATTTTCTTTTGTTGCTTTTATTCGTTATACTCCAGAGGTGCTTCTTGCTTAAAATTATATTCAAGGGTGCGTTTGCTCAGTACAATCCATGTGAAACATCAAGCTATTGAAGTATTTCATGTGTTGTAAAGCCACGTTTAAAGAAGTCTTCAATGTACTCACAATCCATTTATATGTTATGAAATGGAAATCTTTTCTTTTTGCAGTGTATTTACTTTTTTTAGTTACCTTTTTTATAACTTGCTGGCAGAAAAAAAGTTTAAAAAAAAATAATAATAATCATTTTATTTCTTCCTTTTTTCCGCCAGCCAAAAAAAAATCCACCCCCTGAAAAAAAAAAAAAAAGATTTCATTTTTTTTTGCTGGCGGAAAAAAAGGAAGAAAATAAATGATTATTGTTATTACTATTATTATTTTACTTTTTTTCTGCCAGCAAAAAAAAAGAAGAAAAAAAAAGTTCCAGTTGCTGTTTATTGAAGGTCTTCACCTCAGCCACATTGGTTTTATTCTTTATACTCCAGAGCTGCTTCTTGCTTAAAATTCTATTCAAGGGTGCGTTTGCTCAGTACAATCCATGTGAAACATCAAGAAGAGCTGCTTCTATGACTCATCATTTTGACTTTCTATAGCAACTGGAAACATCTGGTCAGTGTTATGGTTACAGATGGATGCACAAAAAGTGCACCCATCTGTGCACTTTTTTTTCCGCCAGCAAAAAAATAGAATAATTCGAATTTTTTTTTTTTTTTCGGGAGGATTTTTTTTTTTTTTTTAATTGTGACCTCTTTTTCCACCAGCCAAAAAAAAAAAAGGTAGTTAAAAAAAAAAAAATCCTGAAACATACGCAATTGAAGTATTTAATCTGTTGTAAAGCCACGTTTAATTGAAGAAGTCTTCAATGTACTCACAATCCATGTATATGTCAAATGTAGGGTAACCTATGAAGAGCTGCTTCTATGACTCATCATTTAGACTTTCTATCTCATAATATAAACTTTCTATAGCAACTGGAAACATCTGGTCAGTGTTATGGTTACAGATGGATGCACCAAAAGTTTTTTTTTTATGCTGGTGGAAAAAAATAAAAAATAAAAAAATAATCAGGTTTTTTTTTAACCTTTTTTCCATCAGCAAAACAAATTAAAATAATTAGAATTCTTTTTTTTTTTTTGGGTCTATTGTTTTTTTTTTGTGATCTTTTTTTTTTTTTTTGCTGGCAGAAATGGGCTTCCATAGGTTATACTTACATACTTTTACCTTTGTAAGGTTTTGAATGCAGTACTTTTACTTGTAGTGGAGTATTTCTACAGTGTTGTATAATTGCTTCTCTGGGGTAAATTATCTGAATACTTCCTCCAGCAGAAGAGGGGGGGAAGAGAACCACGAAGAAGAAACACTTCACATCGTCACTTCCTATCAAAATCTCGCGGGGTCACGTGACGTCGTATTAGATCGCTGTGACTCTTGCTTATGTTTTTACCGTTTGTCGCCAAACGTGTTTAGAAATGCTAACTTTCTCGGTTTTATCGGTTCATCGTGTCGGAGGGACGTCGCGCGGCCGCTCGGAGACCAACCGTTTTTTTTTTCACCGACGACCGGGCGAGAAGTTTGACTGCGAAAAATAAACGGGGCCTGCACGCGTCACGTGACCGGCACGCGGCTTTGAGCGTTTGATAAATAAAGATGGCGGCGTGAGCTCAGCGGAGCGAAGAGGACAACAAACTGAACGGAACCAGAGCGGCGAGAGCGGCCGTTTGAAACTGTCAAGTAAGTTGATTACAGCGCGTGGGGATCCGTTTTATTTAACACTGACGTCACAGTTATCGAAACACTAACTTGTCTCTGCGCAGTGATACTTAAAGTAAGTATTATATGTCGTTTTGAGGCTGTGACAGTGGTAGCTAACTACGTTTACTCCTCGATGCTAATGTTAGCTTAGCAACGGCAATGACACAGAGCGCCGTCAACAACATAACATTGTTGGCTAAACCCGACACGCTGGACTTAAGGTTATTAAAGGTGGTGTTATGTAAACATAATGTTAGCTAAATCCGACACGCTGGACTTAAGGTTATTAAAGGTGGTATGTAAACTTAATGTTAGTGCTGTTAAACGGCGTTTTATGAGCAACATTACAAGCTAGCTAAACAAGCTAGCTGTGGATTGCACCTTATCATCAACCTGTTTATTTATACAGCATCTTTGAAACAGACTTTACAAAGTGCTTTGACAGACAAAAGCAAGACAATAATAACAATAACAGAAAGCTCAGTGAGACAGTTGATACGATAAAAATAAACTAAGAAATAAATAAAATTTTATATATATATATATATATATATATATATATATATATATATATATGAGAATGAATACAATTTTATATATACATTTTATTTATTATATATATTTAGTAAAATAATATGATCGTGACACCATCAACTGTTAACTTTTAAGACGCATATTTAAGTTTACTGAATTTTCCACATGGCATATAAAATACAAAAATATACACTTCATATTGATTATAATAGGCACACAAAAGTAGTATTAGTAGCTAGTTATTTATTTCGGTCCTTATAAACAAAAATAACACACCTAATATTAATAAATAATAATATGGAATTAAATTAAAGAGAAAATAAAAAACATGTAGGTTTAAGATTATTATACTAACAGTTTTTACATAGTCTAATAGGCAACACTTTAATTAGGTTTAACTTTAGGCTAAAGAAAACAAAAATAAAGTTCCAAACGTTTCATTTAAGTAATATTCATCCCTCAGTGTTTTGTCTTAACCACCTTATCTTAAAGTAGTAGACTACCCATTCTTAATTAATATTAAAGACTCGCACCAACATGAAACTCATAAAGATTTTTTATTTAAAATTGCACCTTTCTGGTAACTAACCAGTTTTATTTAAGACACTTGTCAATAACCTGCTAACATTTCTGACATTGTGTTACATTTGTTTTTGGGCACTTTACTGACCATTTTAATTGTTAATATATTTTTGCACTTTTTTATTTGCACTCTTTGCTGCTGAACAAAACCGAACAGCTAAATTAAACAGCAACTTTAAAAATAGTAAAATATCGGGTAAGAAATGCGTGATCTTCGTCTGTGATCGCAGCGGATTTAACGTTTAAAGCTAACGTGTGACCATGTCAGCAGGTTTCCTTTGGTGACCGTTGATGACCGTTAACGCTCAACGGTTGTGCGATGTCTTCCTTTTAAATGTGTAGTTAGTTGTACGGCGTTTGGTGTGAGTTAAATTAGTGCCTTTCTGAGTTCAGTACGTTAGCTCTCGGTTAGCACGGGTTAAAGCCGTGTCACCCTGATTCAAACCAGGCCAGTTTAGCTTTGTATGAGTCGCGAGGGACCAGGAAGTAGTGCGCACCACAGAGGCGCAATGCAAACACGTGTCTTGTTTTGGGTCACTTTGGACCAAGTATCACCTGGCGTGCAGACGTCGCTGTGATAAATAGCTATCTTTAATTCTTCTACCGTTATTATTGTTATGGAGTGGATGTAACTATATTAAATATATATATGTTAAATATATCGAGTCACTGCTACGTTTTAGGGTTTCGTTTTTGGCTTTTCTTCGGCGTGTGCTGAATGAGGATATATACACGCAGAGGTGACTATTCTAAATGGGTTTAATATGTTGCTCACATCGACTTGAAATAACTGTTACAGTTGAGCAACATATGTTTGTTGTATACTGACTGTTGAGAATGTATCACTGGTATATTTTTCATTTGGAAACTAGGCGTTGAGGTTTGTAACATCGCTGTACATGTGGGTCCTAATATTCCTCTCGTGATTTTTTTTAATCATGCATTTTTTTTGGGAGGGTTTCGGTCACATTTCTGTGTTGGTTTTCTTTTTGTAAGCATGCACAGTTGCATCTTTTATCTCATGGCTATGGCTGTACAATATGTTACTATGTATGTGCTTCATGGTTGCCACTCACGTCTGGTTCATCCATTAGGTCAAGGATAAATAAGTATTTTTGCCTTTGTTCAAAGGCACATTGTGGATATAAAGTAACTTTGTGTGGGGGAAAGTAAGCATCGTAATCTCAGTGTTAAATGTTGAACTACCAAGTGTTACATTATGTTGTGGAGAGTTAAAATAGCATTAGATGAACAGGCTTTTAAAGTGATACCTTTTTTCAGCTTACATATTGTTGAAGCCAGACATTTCTCTTCATTTTACTGTCACAATTATTGAACTAAAGCTGCAAATCTTCACATTTGAGAGGCTGCAAGTCTCTTTATTACAATGTAAACCTTTACATTGTCATTTGACAATGCCAATGTGTTTTATGCAGTCACTAACATTTTTGTCATAGTTTTATCATCATTTTTTATTAATGTATCTCTACATTTGTCCTGCAGATGGATCCTGGACAGGATTTACTTCTCGCTGCCCTGAGTGAGAGTGGCATTTGTCCAAATGATTTTGGCCTGTTTGATGTAGATTCTCAGGATGCTGCACAGCCCTCTACAATCCAGCAAGTAAGAGAGTTTTTGTTCTTTATAGAGAAGACGTGATTTATTAATGTGCTCATAACTTGGTGTTAATGGTGTGATGTTGGTCCTCTTCCAGTCTATCTCCATCAGTGCCCTGGATGTTGGCGCTGGGACAGAGTCGGTGGAAGTTATTCGCACTGAGCCTCCAGCTCCAGTCCCTATAGTTACTATCAGGGTGAGATTACAGAGCACTGGCTTCCCATAATTCATTATTGAACACATAATGCAATGTCGCAGCTGATGTTTTTGTTTTGTGGTATGTAATGAAGTCAATTGTACTCTCTGCTCAATGTCTCCAACAGCACAAACCTCAGCCATCAACCACCACGTTTGTCTTAAATCAGCTGAATCAGTTGCCGTCACTCGGAGCTAATGTGACCAAACAATCAGTTGCAAACCCTATCAAACACACCATAACAGTCACCAAAGTGGTCCATGTTGCGAATTCAGCCCTGCGAAGATGTTCGAGCCCTTCCACCACAACTATTCCTCCGTCAGCGTCCACAGTAGTGCCTTCTAACAGAGATCAGGTACGTTGGTCAGGACGTAACGGCACAGAGAAAAACATCTCTTTCTGTTGTGCTGATCATATATTTTCTTTTAGCAGATTCAGCTGAAAGACCTCCTTCGGTCCGGCAATGTGAAGAGCACCGGTCTAAAGGGCAACAGCCTGATGGAGCTCATGAGGCTGAAGCCTCCACCTAACATTGCTCCACCAGTAGCAACGGCAACAGCTACAGGTCATTTGTTTTTACATTTTAACTAACGATTACCAAACAGTTGTGATATATGGTTTTCAATCATCTATATTTGGAGAAGTTTATAAGGTATTAAAAGAGCAATAAGAACGAGTTCATATGAGGTCTGTAGAACCGAACCAATGAGCTAAAAGCTGTAGAGTTTAGTGTTCTTGATGCCATCAATAGTTCTTTATGCAGAGAGCAATTAGGACTTGCTGTCTTTGTTTAGTCAGAGCAAAACACTTTCTCTGTTTCTGTAAAAGAGGAGAAATCTACAACATATCACTGTGGAATCAGAATACAGATTCTCCTGTTTGTGTGGAAACTCCTGACTCATTTCAACACTTTAATTGATCCTGTAGATCCTCTCCTATCCACATTAATTAGGGACTTTATTTTTCAGAAATGCACTAGGACTTGATACTTGCGATCACATTAGACAAAGAAAAGCATCACATACTCACAAATAACATGCATGATCAAGGTCATGTTTAGCATTTTTGCGTGAAAATAATAGATCTCAACATCGCCAGCAGCCGATTACTTATCTGTCGATCCATATTGTAATACTTTGAAATTAAAACGTGTCTCTGTTGGTGTTTCAGGTGAAATGAACAATGGGATCAAGAAGGAAGTGTTTGGTAAAGATACCAGGATCTGGATTAATGACGACATCAAAATGCAAACCTTCCCGCATCCTCTGGTAGGTCCTATAATATTGATTTTCATAAAGCTCTTGAATGCTGCAGAGTGTGTTGGCACGTTAAAGTAGCTTTTGGCAAGTTTGGTATTAACGGTTACGTCAATCTATGATGACAGAAAATCCCCGGGATGAAAGAGGAGGATGAGCCCGAGGAGGAGGAGGAAGACGAACTGGGCCATGCAGAGACTTATGCAGAGTACATGCCAATGAAATGTAAGTACGACTGTTGTGTTTGTTTACAATATCAGCATTAAATTTCCTTAATCTCATCCAGCCACACCTCTATTTGGCAACAACCACGGTCTGTAAGACGTCCAGTCATGATTCGGGTTGAGTGACTGTAACACGAGAGCACTGTATCGCCTTCAACGGCTCTCGGTCAAATCAAACAGAATCCATCCTGCTGTTGTTAATCTCCCGATCCACTGACGAGTCCGTTTACCAATGCAGTGAAGATCGGCCTACGGCACCCCGACCCCGTGGTGGAGACCAGCTCCCTGTCCAGTGTCAACCCTCCAGAGGTGTGGTACAGACTGTCCATCTCAGAGGAAGTCATTGATCGGGGCTGCCTGTCGGCTCTGCAGCTGGAGGCCATAACGTATGCGGCTCAGGTCAGCAGAGTGGATTTTATGAAAGATAGATATTAGTTGACGACTTGTTTTCACAATGAAAAATGCGGATTTTCAACATAATATGGGGTTATAGAAGTTATTATGAACAGCTGGTAAAATATACAAAGGGAAAATATACATTGATCGCTGTGGGGATGAAGGAATTCTGTATTTAACAAATGCATTTATAGCATCAATTAAGATTAAGGCTTCGAGACTGTTTGAATTTTACTCTTTAAAAAAATCAGGTGCCAAAATTGAAACTGCAGGTAAATACTTGACGTTTCTCTTTTCGTGTGACTCAACTTGTTTTGCCATTTTGATTTGGTTTGTTTTCCTTTTGCACCACAGCAACATGAGACATTCCTCCCCAGCGGTGATCGAGCTGCTTATTTAATCGGGGACGGAGCTGGTGTGGGGAAAGGCCGGACCATTGCAGGGATCATCTTCGAGAATTACCTTTTAGGCAGGAAGAGATCTCTCTGGTAAATACCCCAAATCTGGTAGAATCATATTTAACACGGGGGATTACAAAGTGCGGCCTTTAAATAAATGTTGTTCTCTTCTGTTCAGGTTTAGTGTCTCAAACGACTTGAAGTACGACGCTGAAAGAGATTTAAGGGACATCACGGCCAAAAACATATCTGTTCACTCACTGAACAAGGTCAGAGACGTTAAGATGTATGGATGACAAAACGCTGCCTTCATAATGTCAAGTGTGACTCAATTTAACATTTATATTTCAGTTCAAATATGGAAAGATCTCTTCAAAACACAATGGTAGTGTGAAGAAAGGTGTGATATTCGCCACCTACTCTTCGTTGATAGGAGAGAGCCAATCAGGAGGGAAGTACAAGACCCGATTCCAGCAGCTTCTCCACTGGTGTGGGGAGGACTTTGACGGAGTTGTATCCTTTCAAGCCATCAGTTGGTAGAATAGATGTCAGGAAATGGTGATTACTCTTTTGTTGTTTTCATGTGATCTTACCTGCATCAAAGCGATGTAAACATGATCCTTGTAGACCATCCTTCCCTTAACACGACGACTTTTAGATCGTGTATGACGAGTGTCACAAAGCCAAAAACGTGTGTCCAATCGGATCGTCCAAACCTACAAAAACTGGACTTGCCGTGCTGGAACTGCAGAACAAACTCCCCAAGGCTCGGGTTGTGTATGCAAGTGCTACAGGTTAGTAGACGAATTTAAAGTTGAATTAGCTCGTTGACGGTGTAAACTCGGTTGGAGTTGGTTAATCTGTGGAAACGCTGTGAATTCTGAAAAATGTACTTTTTCTATCAAGGTGCCTCTGAACCCCGAAATATGGCCTACATGAATCGTCTGGGCATCTGGGGCCATAAAACCCCCTTCAGAGAGTTTGGCAACTTTATCCAAGCTGTTGAGCGCAGGTAAGTTTCTCTTTCTGCAGGTGACAAAACAAAAGTCTTGATGCCCGACAGGTGATGTGAGGAAAATGTCCTAATGTGCTCATGTACATTTCTCCCCTCCCTGTCATTTTCAGAGGTGTTGGTGCCATGGAGATAGTAGCCATGGACATGAAACTGAGGGGGATGTACATTGCCCGGCAGTTGAGTTTTACAGGTGTGACTTTTAAGATTGAGGAGGTTCCCCTGACTCCGCAATACATCAAAATGTACAACAAATCTGTGAGGCTGGTAAGCACATAAACGTGTAAAGAAATATATTTTAAGCACATTTCTGTGATTCGTTTTTATTTGGCCGTGCAGTTATTAAGTAGATTTCTTTATGCTTCCACCAGTGGGTGAGTGCACGGGAGAAGTTCCAGCAGGCGGCGAACCTGATGGACGCAGAGCAGCGCATGAAGAAGTCCATGTGGGGCCAGTTCTGGTCCGCTCACCAGCGGTTCTTCAAGTACCTCTGCATCGCCTCCAAAGTCCGCCGAGTGGTGCAGCTGGCCAGAGAGGAGGTCCAAAATGGAAAGGTGAGAGGACTCTTGTAATACGACAGTATGTAAGGTTAAGATTTCAATTTCTAAAGGGTTAAAAGTCTGCCACTTGGCATTAGAGGCTGATCACACCGATGCAATAACATTGGTTTCCTGGCGTGCGCTCTTCTCTTCGCTTTGCCAAGAGGCGCTTTTGTAAGCGTAACGCGCCTGTTTCGGTGTGATCAGCCTGTTACTTGAGAGATTCATGGTGTCAAACCCCCCCCCCCCCCCCAAAAAATGACTCTTAACCTGTATCTACAAAGGACAAATGTGTTACTCCAGGTTACAAACACAGGCAGAGATGACGGGAGTAAAATGTGGTGTACTTTTTAGGAAAAATACAAATTTGTCAGAATTGTGGAAACCCAGTGTTGGTGAGGAATAACAAGAAAAGCGATGATGATGATGAAGTCATCAATGCCAGGAAAACTTGGTACGCATCGACTAAAAACACTACAGAGGCTACAAGTTAGCCAGAGATCCTCTGGTCACCACTGCAGAACAAGATGTTGATGCTTTGCCAGAGAGAAGCTACTCGATGTTTTCCTGAAAAATGTTGTGCTTCCTGCTCTGATGTTCTCCACACTTCCTCTGCAGTGTGTGGTCATCGGTCTTCAGTCCACTGGAGAAGCAAGAACGCTGGAGGCCTTGGAGGAAGGAGGAGGAGAGCTCAACGACTTTGTGTCAACTGCAAAGTACGGACTGACTAAAGCAGATTTATTTTTTTTTTCTAACCGTATAATGCACATATGTACGTCACTAAAATGTTTTTTGTTGTTGTCGTAGAGGTGTGCTGCAGTCCCTGATTGAGAAGCACTTTCCAGCTCCTGACAGACAGAAGCTTTACAGCCTGCTCGGCATCGACCTCTCGGCTAAGAAGACCCCGTCTCCCACTGAAACAGCAGCACAGCCGGAACAGAAGGGCAAGAAAAGGAAAGGTAATGAAGATTTTATAACCAGTGGCTTTGTCTTAAAAATAACATCCGTCTCGACTCTCGTCAACAAGTTTATGAGCTGCTCAGAAATGTTTAATGTTGGTTTATTTATTTTCAGGTTCAGAGTTAAAAAAGCAGAAGAAGAAGCCTCGCAAGCACGGCGGTTTGTCGGGTACCAGCTCGGAGGAGAGCCAGTTGGAGGACTCGGACCGAGAGTCCGGTAAAGACAGCGACGACAGCGTCAAGTCTCTCAGCTCGGGGGACGAAGACGACGACTTCAACCCGTTCAGAGACGAGTCGGACGACGACGAGGAAGACGGTGAGACTTCTACAGGGAGGTCGAGGGAGTTGAATTAAAACATTTTTATTTGTCCTGCTCAAAGCGAACCCTTTGTGCCTTCCTTGTGTTTTAGATCCATGGCTCTTTAGAAAGGAACCAAAGAAAAGGAAAGAGAAGAAGAAGAAAAAGAGAAGTAGTATTGATCCAGACTCCATTCAAAGTGCCTTGTTAGCCTCCGGGCTGGGCTCCACCAGGCCTGCTTTCACTGCCACCGTTATCCCCCCCAGCACCCCCGCTATAGGTAAGCACAAAACCCACACAGCGATACAGGATTACAGCTCTCTGATTCAGCCTTTTGAGGGATAACGAACGCCTCGCTTTTACTTGTTCCTAAGTCAAGGCAGAGAGTCGGGATAGCTGCCTCACGAGTCAGGACGCAGTGGAACATGCTCAGAAGATGAAGAAAGATCTCCTGGAACAGCTCGAGGATCTAGCTGGGGATCTACCTCCCAACACCCTGGACGAGCTGATCGACGAGCTGGGAGGACCCGAAAACGTAGCTGAGGTAGAAAAATTAAGTGTTTTATTTTTTTTTAAATGCTGGATCAGTATTTGTTCTGTAAATTAACTGCCTTCGACTGTGCTTCAGATGACCGGTCGTAAAGGTCGTGTGGTCAGCAACGACGACGGCAGCATCACGTACGAGTCTCGCTCTGAGCTGGATGTCCCGGTGGAAATCCTCAACCTCACAGAGAAGCAGAGGTTCATGGATGGAGAGAAGGTAAAGGCGAATAGAAACATGTAACTGAGAAGTTATTAGAGGTTTGATTCTCTCATAACTTGATCAGGACTGAAGGTTCTTCCACACCTGTAGTTACCAAGAAAAAGATAACATCCCTTGTTAGTTTTGGCCCATTTTACATTCCCCAGGGTTCATTTTGTGAATGAAAATACGACTCAATATGTTCCTCAACTAACTTGACTAAGACGAGACATCAGCTCCAGCACACAATGAGCACAATCAGGAGGACTGTGGACTGTTATCTTAGTAAAACTAAGATAACAACAACACAAATGAGTTTTCATCAGCTCAAACTGTACTAAAGTAGTTTTCTTTGACTAAGATGAGACTAAGACGTGTGGACATGAATCAAAGGTAGGACACAAGCTTCGTCTTCTGTTTAAGAATATACTTGAAAAATGAGAACTGTGTTTTGCTTTTGTATCGATCGTGCAGCAAATTCAATACTGAACGATGTTTAGTGTAACTCTGACATCTACCATCAAATATAATGCTGTGGCTTTCACACAACGAACAAATAACTCCAGGCTGTTTGTTTTGCAGCAGCTCTTCAGGAGTTCTCAGTCCGGTGGTTTAGTCCACCACAGAGTTTGATTGACAGCTTTCACACCCGCCCAGATGAGGCCAACTAAACACACCAGAGTTAGTTTACAGTTTGGGACCAGCCGAACGAGTGAATAACTGCTTCTGGTTGATCTAAACTTTGGACTGACAGACTTAATTATATATATATATATATAATAATAGCTGCTCATTCCACATTTCTATGTGAAGATTAACATTAACTGTCTTTCTCTTCTTTTCAACCAGAACATAGCGATCATCTCTGAAGCTGCCAGCTCAGGTATTTCCCTGCAGGCCGATCGTCGGGTGAAGAACCAGCGGCGGAGAGTCCACATGACGCTGGAGCTCCCTTGGAGCGCCGACAGAGCGATACAGCAGTTCGGTCAGTAGAGAGATTCACCAGACCAGAGGCCTCAAAGTCTTTCACTTAATAAATAACTAAATAATAAACGTGGTTCAAACGTTGTGCTGTGTTTGTTTGTTCTCAGGGAGAACTCACAGGTCGAACCAGGTCACAGCTCCTGAATACGTCTTCCTCATATCGGAGCTCGCAGGAGAGCAGAGGTTTGCCTCCATCGTTGCCAAAAGACTAGAAAGCCTGGTAAGTCTTAATCGAATGTATAGTCAGGAACATAGATACTTAAAGGACATTAAACATCAACTATATTTCTTTAATCTGTCTCCTAACAGGGAGCGCTCACACACGGAGACAGAAGAGCAACAGAAACTCGAGACCTCAGCAGGTTTAATTTTGACAACAAAGTAAGCACGACCAGCTTTTGTCTCAGTGACGTTCTCATCACTTTATCTGTTCAGTGTCTCACTCTGTTTGTCTCTGCTGCAGTACGGCAGGAATGCTCTGGAAATTGTGATGAAGTCGATCGTGAAGCTCGACTGTCCGCTGGTGTCTCCTCCCGCTCACTTTAAAGGAGACTTCTTCAAAGGTACTTTGACTTGTATGTTGTTTACCTTTCAGTGAGTATTCCAACAATCTAGTGTTTGTTGTACAACTTGTTCTCCCTGTGGACGTCTGTCAATACCTCATTGATTTCTGTATTCGATGGTTCTCATCTGACTTTTTCCTTCTGTAGAGATTCAAAGTGGATTAATCGGTGTTGGCCTCATAAACGTGGAGGACAGATCGGGCACAATGTCACTGGACAAAGGTGATTATTAAATATTGTTTTGCCCTAATGGCAGCTGTTCTCACTGTTAAATGAGTCCTGCGTTTGCATACAGTTCAGTGTGAGTTTCCACATGAACGTAATCCACATACTCTGTTGCTGCTGCAGACTACAACAACATGGGGAAGTTCCTGAACCGTATTTTGGGCATGGAGGTGCAGCAGCAGAATGCCTTGTTCCAGTACTTCTCCGACACGTTGGCAGCCGTCATTCAGGAGGCCAAGAAAAGCGGCAGATATGACATGGGCATTCTGGGTAAGACCGCCGTCACTTCCATCACGCAGAAGCAGAACTGGGGCAGAAGGCATTTTATCATGTTTAATTATTCAAAGTGCTTTCCGCTTTGAGAGAATGGGTGGAGGCATAATCATCCGTTTGCCCTGAAGGTTGGGTTTCAGCGCATTATTGGATCTGAAATGTATTCAAATCTCCTCCTGTCCTCTTTAGATCTGGGCTCCGGTGACGAGAAGGTGAAGAAGGTAGACTGCAGGAAATTTCTAACGCCGGGCTACACCACAGCAGGACACGTGGAACTCCACACCGTATGTTCATATATATTTACATGGCGTTTTGAGCTCCCTCCCCTCTGGGGGATGAGGTGAGATCACAGTAACGTCACCTGACTTTGTCTCTCACAGGTGAGCGTGGAGAGAGGGATGTCGTGGGAGGAAGCCACGCATGCTTGGGCCGATCAGAACGGAGCAGATGATGGTTTCTATGTTCAGGTATGAGAGGGTTCATGGTGTCTCTCTCTCTTAGAAATCAGCTCTGCAACAGTTCCACCTGTTAAAATTACCTTTTAGTTAGTGACCAAAAATCTTGCGGTTTCACGATATATCTGCATATTTGTATAAAGGTTTATGGGGACTTATTCTATAGTCAGAAGAACATAGAATATAAAATATACATTTTAATGTCATGTATATACTGAAGGTTTTAATTACTATATGGTTTTCTTGACCCCGCAGCGTAATACATAATAAGATATCAGATTTGTAAAACGTGGTGTAGCAGAGTTTCCTGACTTTTAGTCTAGTATGGGTCCATAAATGCTGGATCCTTCATTTCCCATAATGCAACTCTGATGTTTTCTGTCATGAGACCCTTAACTGACAGTTCCCATTTTTGTGAAAGTTGACGTCTAGATGCAGGGACGTTGTGGCCAAGCCCCTCCAGAGCCACAGAAGACGTGATTCAACTGTTTTCAAAGCCCGAGTAGTGACGTAATGTAAAGCACGACGTGTACTTTGTTTTCAGATGAGGAACAACAAGAAGACGGCCATACTGGTCAAAGAGGTGAACACTAAGAAGAGACTCTTCCTGGTTTACAGGCCGAACACCGGCAGACAGGTCAAACTGGAGATGTACGCGGACATCAAGAAGAAGTTCAAAAAGGTCACAAAACAGTTTATTTTTATTACTTTGAGAAGAACTCTTCATGCTCTACGAGGTGAAACATGTTTTTATTTTTGCTTTTAGGTTTTGTCCGATGATGCCAAGCAGCACTGGATTGATCAGTACATGTCGTCAGCAAAGATCTGCTCTCATGCTTATTGGTATGTGCACTTAAGATCTCTGTGAACACACACACAGTTGTTTAGTTTGACTCGGGTACACCGTCCTGCTCAAAATAGTCCCAAACAAATGCACCATTTTCTCCTGTTGGATTGAGATTGAAAGTCACAAACAGGGTTGGGAAGTAAAAGTACTGAAAGACTTTGCTAGTTTTGGTCTTTTTTCGTGGGATTTGTTGACGATAATAATAATTTCATTTATAGAGCATGTTTAAATTCGGGGTTTGCAAAGTGCTTTGACAGACAGATGATACTAAAATAAAGCTGTAAAAAGACAACATCACGTAAAAGCCAGACTGTAAAAATGAGTTTTAAGAAGTGATTTAAAAGGGACGCATTTATAGAAAATAGACTTCTTCTCTGAAGCCAAACCGCGTGCTTCACCGTTAACTTTCTCCCCCGCGTGCTTCACCGTTAACTTTCTCCCCCGCGTGCTTCACCGTTAACTTTCTCCCCCGCGTGCTTCACCGTTAACTTTCTCCCCGCGTGCTTCACCGTTAACTTTCTCCTTGTGTGCTTCTTGAAGGCGAGGGAACTGTAAGAAGGCGTCTGTGGGTCTGCAGTGTGAAGTGGGTCTGCGCTGTCGGACGTACTACGTTCTGTGCGGCTCGGTGCTCAGCGTGTGGAACGAGCTGGAGGAAGTTCTCACTCCGGTCAGCGGAACCAACGTGAAGGTGCAGATAGTCCGACTCAGAACAGAAGATGGACAGAGGATAGTTGGTGAGTTGAAGGACTGCTTTAAAGGAATAGCTCTGACAATTTGGGAGACTTGTGTTGCAGAGAGCGTTGGAGGAGAAGATCGATCTTCTCAATTATCTGCATCAGATCTAAGCTTACAGATGTGTTGGAGTTAAGGAAACTACATCCTGTAATAGATGAGGTCCTCCACCTGAAGATGAGATGGATGCCTTAGTTTAGTTCCTCTCTGTTTGTACTTTCAGATATCTGCTTTATTTTACAAGAGATGGACGATACGATAGTTTGTATTTGTTTTGGTTCCAGTGCAAAGAAAAAAGAGCAACAGACACCATAAATCATTACAACACAACATAAACGCATCTCGATGGTTTTAATTTGTTAAAGACCCAAAGTGAAGAAATGAGTTTATGTGCCGGACTATCCTTTGACTTGTCTACTGTCATTGTGATCTTTCCAGCTTCATATTTACCGTACAGACTTCAGTGATGTCGATCCTCTCATCTAACTCTCTCGAGAATATCCCAAAATATCCGACCCATTCCTGTTTGTTTAATGTGTTTGTTTAACCCTTCCTTTTGTTTGTTTGTTTCAGGACTGATCATTCCAGCGAACTGCGTGTCTCCGTTGAGTAACAAGCTGTCGACGTCGGACCAGAGCCAGCAGCTCGCCGTGCAGGAGCTTCAAAAGCAGCAGCAGCTCCACCCCCAAAGTCTCTGTCATGCACCCAACACATAGCCCGGGGTGGACCGTGTGAAAGCCCGTCTCGAGTTCACGTCCCGGTCTAAAGGGATCTGGACTCACGAGTCTCTGAATCACCCCCCTCTCCATCGTCTCTGAGGGTCCGAGGTGTCACACCGAGCTGTGAGCCGATTCTCGGACGTGAAGCTTGTACAGAGAGAAAAGATTTCAGGGTTTTTCTTCTTCCTTTCTTTTTCTTTTTAAATCTCCAGAGACTCTTGTTTTCACCTGGACAGGTTTTGACGGGTGATGTTTTGTCCTCTGACATTCAGAGTGAAAAGATTTGTGACCTCTTGATGGAGACGCAGTAGAGACCTCGAGGGCATGTTGAGGTGTCCCGTGCTTTAAGCTCTTCAGTCCCGGACCACCTGGTATGAGGCAAAGACTTTTTCCTGGTTCAGACCAAAGGTGGATGAGACGAAGACCACGCAGTCTTTTTAAAGTCTGATTCCAAAATATACAAAATGGGCATTTGATGCTAAACTACAAACGCATATTAATATATATCAGCTCATAGCTGCTCAGACGTGATGCAGAGAGAATTAGTTTGAAGCAGAAACTTAATGCAAAGAGCGTTCTGGTTATCAGTATCTAAAACGTCATTGTCAGAGTCCTCTTGCATCCTTAATCTCAAATTGATCGATTGGTTTGTTTTTATTTCACACTTCATCCCTTTGTTCCTCTCAGTCCGTATCGTAACAATCATTGAAGTCCGTCTTAAATCAGCAGTCAGGGTCCCGAAACAACATTTAAAGCAGACTTGTCTTTATGTAATCTTTCCTCCTCTTTATACCGGACATTAACGGGACAGTTCAGCCCAAAATATAAATACATATTTGTCCTCTTACCTGTAGTTTTATTTACCGATCTAGATTGTTCGGGTGTCTTTTATCTCTGATGGGACTCGTCGTGTTTAAAGCACCATTAAACGTGTGCTGCTCCCTTCATCCCCACTTTATTAAAACACTACTTCAGTGGTTTGTGTTGCAGGTGGAAACCACCTTTGGTCTAGAAGGAGACGTGTGATATTCAGTACAGCAGCCACGGAATCATGAGAAATGTGAAATCTTTTATTTTGAAACTTGATGTTTGTTAAATGTACTTCTGCTCAGGGGTTTAAACTCGTACAAAGACCCTCTTTGGAATAATAAAACTAACAGAATGTTTCACAAAGTATCTGAAAACGCATGAACGGAGCTCCACCTGCTCAGTAACTCTGAGGCGAGCTGCTGTTTACGGCTCCTTTCTTCGCAGTAAAACGTCTCAAAGCGCGTCTCTCTGCTGTCTTGAACCCAGTTGTGATTAAAACAAACATGGACGCCTGCTTCTGTCCAGTAGTTTGCCGCCTCCGCTGCCTCCTCGGTCCTGTATTGCGTTATGTTAGATCTGCACAGGGAGGGACGGACCAAAGTCTGGATGTCCTGATAGCTGCTTCATTCTATAAAGATGGGACGTGTCGTTGCTGACCTGTGGATTAGTTCATGTTAATAACCGTTCTCTCTTCTGTTCCACATCGATTCATTTAAACAACAAGTGAGATAGGAAGAAGTCTTTGTGTCATACCGATGTGCATTTTGTACACTTTGTAAACATGAAAACAAACCTGCTGTGTGACAGACTTTCCCTGATCGACTCTTTAACTGAGAAGTCTTTTAACTTGAATGTCCGCCGTATAGAAACGTTTTATTTTGTCTTTTTGAGATGTCAAACACGTCGTCGGCTCCTCCTGAAGCTGAAACACTTGAAGGACTTTTTTGTTTTTTTTTCTCCTTCCATCTTTGCACGAGTTGCACTACTGACCGAGTTGTACAAATATTCACCTGTACATGAATGAGTGTGATGCTCAATAAAGCTTGGTATACTTCTACCTCGTAGTACTGTTAATTGTACTACAGAGACACGTGGTCCCACTGGCTGATAACGAAGCTTAGCATCATTTTAATTATGATATTTAATGACTGGGGACAAATAATCACTGCGACTTATCTGCATCTATGAGGTCTTTTAATTTGACTTTATTCCTCCTAAATCACCACTTCTGATTCATTGCCAAAGATCATAGAACTAGTCACTATATTTACAAAACCAAAGGTTTAGGAAATGCAAGTCACTTTGACATCTAACATTTTGAATTTATAGTGTTCTCCAGCAGTATTCACATCTTCTATGTATGATAAAGTAGCAAAAACACACTTAAGAAATACTCGATTACAAGTAGAAGTTCTGCTTTGTAAAGTTTTATTCAAGTAAATGTGTACATTTTATCAGCAAAGGACATGGCCTTTGTTATACTGTTGTATATTATATTTAGTGAATGATAAATAATATGACTACAAAAACTATGTAGGCAACAACATTTTGAAGGTGAAGTTACAAGTTTAATAGTATAACTATTTATTAGTAAATTATATTTACATAATTACTTGTTCAGTATTTTTTTAAGTGTGTTCTCGCTAATCTCTTCGACATGTTTGATTATATGGAAAAGTATGTTTTATCTTTGAAATGATGCTTCAGAATAAAAGCATTTAAAAACTACAAAGTATAGAAAGAAACGAATATACTATTGTTTTTAAAGTAAAATCTTACAATTCATATAGGTAATATACTAATATATATCCCTTTACGAACATCTTCAATCTGAGTACTTCTGTGTATTGTTTGTATGTTGCATTGATAATATTACTTCAGTAAATGGTGTAAGTACTTCTTCCACTACTAACATGTTTTGCCAATACCTTAATTAATCTAATTACTTAGTATTTTCCCATCAACATTCTTTGAAAACAAGCAGCACATTGTCCACAAACAAGTCCTAAAGTCAGAGCCTGTTAACCCATTAACATCCACTCTTTATCAGGGGCCATCCCACTGCCTCACTGGGGGGTCAGAGGTCATGACACCGGCCAGGATTGGGCCAAACCAAGTCCATGTGGTCAAAGAGAGCCTGATGGGACACGGAGGTTTAACTGTCTACTTATTTGAATGTAAGAAGAGCAGAAACACAGCCACGTGCCTCCAAAATAAGAGTGGATCCTTTATTAATGTATTATTAATAAACCTCTACAGTTTTATATATATATATATATATTTATATATACAGACGGAACAATGGACGCGCCCCCACAGACAAAGACAGGTATCTACAAACCGGCTCTTATTTTCTCTTCCGAGAGCTTTCGCTCTCGGAAGAGAAAATTCATATTTCATATTTAACTAAAACAAAAACATTTCTGATTTAATGTTAAATCAAATATACACACACAAAGTTCATTATCGAACTTTTTAAAACATTACTTTTTTTATTGTGGTGTAAAAAAAAAGAAAAAGTGAAAGACTTTAAAATGTGAAGAAATAAGTCTAAACACACTTCACGTGTTTACTTTTTAACGTCTTTTAAAACAATGACTTTTTTTTTTTTTTTTTTTTAAGTAGACTTCCCGGTGAAAGCGGAGAAAAACGTGTCAAACGCGTTAAACCGGGTGAAAACCGCGTGTGAATTCCGTGGTTTTCAACCGTCTAAATCACGTTTTAACCGTTTTTTTGTGTGTTCTTGATAGCCCCGCAATAGTAGCAGTGTTAGAAAGCACAGTGGGTGTCAATATAAAGTGACGGCCATATTTGCCGGTGCCGCTGTTGTAAACAAAAAGTGAGAGACAGACGCTTCACTGAATTTTGGGTCATTTTTATTTCTTTAATTTACAATGTCTCTGGGAATGTCTTATAAACCCAATGTCCATCAGCACATTCCGGGAACTTCTGGGAACCAGGGTAAGGAGAAAAAATGGCGGAAAATCAAAGTATCCGTCCGTTAAATCGAGTGTTAAATTCGGGGTCTCGGAGAATACCTGGAGAAAGACCGTGTCTGTAGTTTTTTTTGTCCAGTTATATATATAGGGTCAGATCCTGGGAGCTAGGCTAATTCATATCCGCCATTATTACTAATGTCGAAAAGAGCGCCGTCCGCGGTAACCGTCGGCGGACGACGACGGTTGGAACGACGGTTGGTTCCTAACACGCGATCAACGGTCGTTCGCGGTCCCGGGTCCCGACGGTTGGTCGCCGTTACACGGTGACAAAAATGTATCACTTTGTGTCTTCTTGAGCCAGCCCTTGTTCCGTTTCCTCCTCCATGATGCTCCTTCGGTCGGAGCTGCTGATTGATCTGCCTCTGAATTTTTTTTATTTTTATGGCTCTTCGAGGACATCTCGCGTCGGAGGTTGAATATTACAGCCGAACAAAGCAGCAGGGGAGCGGCGAGGTGGAGGACAAAAAGATGCCTCGAGTCAGTGGTGGAAATAAGTATCAACGTCTATTGAAAACAAAAAAAGTAGAAATAACAGTATTTAAAAATACTGTTACAAGTAAAAAACAAGTATATTTTATATTTGTACTTATACTTTTGCATTTTTAAAACCATGACTTTTACTTGTAATACGGTATTTTTACAATGTAGTATTGCTACTTTTACTTCACAATCTGAATATTTTATTGTTCATTATTAGTTTTTATAGGCTTCATCTGCAAAGTAGCTACAGGTACAAAAACAAGTACTTTGAAGTGGAGTAGAAGTAGAAAGCAGAATACAATTTAAGAAACTCAAGTAGAACAGAAGTAACTCAGACTTGTACTTATGTACAGTACTTGAGTAGATGTACTTAGTTACTTTCCACCACTGCCTTGAAACAGTATTTTTAATGGGAATTTATTTCATCTACAGTTAAATGGTTTGACAGCTGCAACGATTAATCGACTGGTTGATTAAAAGAAAATTAATCGTCAACTATTTTGATGTTCAATTGCTCGTTTGATTTATTTACTAAGCAAAATGCTGAATTGAAAATCTTTGGGTTTTGGACTTGGGTTTTGTCGGATTAAAACAAACAATTTAAAGATGCTACCTCGGGTTCTTGGGAAAAGTTTTTTTTTTTTTTTTTCGTATTTTCCGACTGCACTGACGTCCTGCAGGTGTCTGTGCTGTAAGTCTTCACTGGTGTCATCTTGTATTTTGTGAACAGTTGGAAGCCTCCAGTCTCCCTCAGCAGCTAACCTGGCCACGTTGCAGTCCTACAGGCCCCTCCTGAGCGACTATGGACCTCCATCTCTGGGATTCTCACAGGTAACTGACATTAAACTGATGTAATTAGTAGTATTAGTATAAGGATATTCACTGGTTTATTGTAAGGATATTCACTGGTTTATTGT